CTGGACTTTTATCCAAGCTTACCATTTTAAGGAAACTCAAACATATCATCACTAATGATTTTTCAGGAGATCTGGTGATTTCTCCTTCTATCTGGCAGGAATGCATTTAATCCATCTGAGAAAGGTCATTTGAATTTATAGAAAGAAACTACTATAACTTGTCTAATCCTTTAAAGTTATGGGAAATAAATGAATGAATGTCAGTGAAAAGTACTTAATCCAGGGAACAAGTTAGTGGCAAAAAGCTGTCCTCTTTGCTCTGCCTCCTTTTAAAATAAATCTCACCTATGTGCTCAAGATTATAGGTTTTTATACCAAATTGATTTATTTTAAGACAAACAAGAAAATAATAGTAGAAAAGCTTTGACTAAATTAAACCTCACTCATCATATTGGTTCAAGTCATAAGAACCAATACATTATCCAAAATGAAATGACATTTAGAACACTGGAACTATAAACTAAAATTTCTGGGTGAAATGGATCCATTTCTAAGAAAGCAGTTCTTTCCTCCATTATAAACAGTTCATGGAGGCAATGCATATTCAAAATGGGGTGTCCTCTTGGTTAGATTATATCTGAAAATATTAATCGTTCACTCTTGAATCTCGATTGGAATATTTTTAGTTGATACTCTGTTTAGAAAGAAAAAAAACACTGCTAGTGGTGACAACTAAACATTTATTTGGGGATTTTTTTATCTCATCACTGATCAAGCAAGTTTTCCCACTAGAACACTTAAAGACAACAATCATTTTCTAGTTATAAATTTGTCACAATTTGTCAGATACTTTTCACCTTCTAAAGCACCAATGTCAGTAAAAGAAATGAAATGTGATTTTCGAGCCTGCAATTTGTGCAAGGCAGTTGCTCCACAAAAAAGATCTTTATTTAGTTTTAGAGTGTTTTAAAAGCAACCATTTTACATTCCTTTCTTTTTTTCTTTTGATTGTGCTTTAGATGAAGGTTTACAGAGCAAACTAGCTTCTCAGTAAACAATTAATACACATAGTTTTGTGACATTGGTTGCCAAACCCTTGACATGTCAAACCTCTCCCCTTCTCAACCTTGGGTTCCCCGCTACCAGCTTTCCTGTCCCCTTCTGCCTTCTCATCCTTGCAACTGGGCTGGTGTGCCCATTTAGTTTCGTTTTGTTTTATGAGCCTGTCTAATCTTTGACTGAAGTGTAAACCTCAGAAATGACTTCAATGTTGAGTTAAAAGGGTATGAAAGCAACCATTTTAAACTGCTTTATTTTTACTTTGGAGTGGTACTCATTGGATGAATTTAGCAAAAGAAAAAATATGTTAGTGTGCCTTAATATGAAATATTTCATTCTTACATGGAAAATGAAAAATAAGAGCACAATAGACTTGGCTTTTTTCTTTTAGAGCTTCAAAATAAAACTATCAGTATATACACATCTGGTATTTTACGAGATTCTTCTGACTACTGTCCTCACTTTATAAATATTATTTTGATTCCTCAGTCAGAAGTAAATGAACATGCCACTTTTTAACATGGTTGTTGAAATTTGGAAATGTGACATTTTATTCTGAACGTTTCATATCTAATCCTGGAGTTCATAGCACAACTTGAAAGATGGCCAAGTGGTATAATCCAAGCCCTCAAGTTACAGTGTTTTGAGGGAATTGAGTTAATTCTTAGTTGAATAATTTTTAAATTGTCACCTACTATGTATGCTATGGACACAGCCTCCAAAAAGCAGATACGGAGTAGTGGGTAAGGAACTAAGAATTAAACCAAGTCTCACCACTATTCACAAGTTTAAAATTGAAATGTAATACATAACCGAAAATTTCTATATGACTCAGTTCATCTGGGAAAGAGGCACTTACTAATTTATTCCAGCTACATGTCCATCCTTAATAAATGCTGGTAAAGTACTATAGATCTGATAATTTGATAATCAATATTTTCTGTATATTGGGATTGTTTGATTAAATGTATTTAAAATAAACACAATTTGTGGCAATTATAAAATTTGCCAATTTTAACATAATTTTTTTTTTAATATTGTTTTCTGATTTTAGAATAATGTTGTGGGAGTCTTAATGATGCGTGTCTTTGAAACTGTAATTTCTGACTGTATTTTCTGACTTTCGTGGTTAACAAGGAAACAAAAAATAACCCTGATTTTTTATACATCATGCCAGAAACTTCCTTTTCCTTCTGATCCTTACAACTCTGGAAATGTGATTTAAATTCTTTTTGCATCTCCTCACTTAATAATATGAAAGGGAGGAGTCGTGGATAATAATAGTACTTAATCAAAGGATAGTCAAGAATTAAATGAGATACTGAATGAAAAGCACTTGATATAATGGATGGAATGTAGTAAATCTTCAATAAAAAGTTATAATCAGCAACATCATGCAATACAGCACTAATCTAAGGTAGCAGTTTAGTTAATTATTAATATACTTGTAGTACTTGAAATATCTACTGGAATTTCAATGAAATTAAATAAAACATTGATTTAGTAAGGCTAAGCAGAAAAAAAAGTCATAAAAATACCTAATGAATTCAGAGGGTAAGAAATCACTCTAGGTAATATTCCCCATAATGCAACTCTATTTTTAAATTTTAAAATTGTATGGTGGAGAAAATGGATAAGATTTTTTTTTTATTTGACATCTAATTATACACTTAACATCTAAAACATCATTTGCTCACAATAACCCTAATAGGCAAGCTATTTGTCACATTCTGTTTTATATGAAAAGTTCGCTTTCTCCAATACAAAACACTGACAAAATAAAATTGCCTAAATATTAAGTACAAAACTTAATTCTTGGAAAAGAAAGAACAAACAATAAAACAAAATATGCATATAAACTGGAAAAATTAAATTGGCTTTCTTAGTTCTGAGTATCTATTACAATACTGGATACAGATATCATCATATCTAAAAACATATGAAACAGTTATGTGAATTGTTTATGACTCATGTATATCTATGAAATTCATTAGATCAACAGTCAGAGATAATTTTGTCTCTTTAAACAGTCCTAGGGTTCAAATTTTTAATAGTTGAATGAACAATTTTATTTTAACTAAAGGAGAACTATATAACTGAACAAAATTACCATCTGAGAGGCAGAGCCAGGCTAAGAATTAGGAATTTGGTCTATTGCTTAAGGCTGAGGTAACATGTAGCAACAAAATTATTTTAGAGTATATGAAGCAATTCAGAAGAACCATTGGGATGAAACTGTTATGGACCTTGGAAAATGAATTTACAGTTACATGAAGAATAGAGAAAAACATTTCTGCAATTTTTCAGTCTTTCTAATGTTTACATTGAAAGGACTAGTTGTGCTATATGTTGGTAATAATATCCAATGTAAGAGAAAGTTTGATTAAAAAAATAAACATTTTGGTTTGGGCATCTTTTAATAATATTACATACTATGATGACTGATACTCTAAGATATATATTTGGCTATTGAATATAAATGATGTATTAATTACCATTTAAATCAGACAACACTAAGATTTACAAGAAGAGCCCAAAATTATAGTCATAGTCGTCTATCATAATATAAACTTATAATCCCAAGATAGCGTTGATTTTACACTCCACCTTTATATTCTACAGAAGAAATATTTGCTCCAATGAACAAAATGAATGAACTGTAAGATTTAACAGTATAATACCTAATAGTCTAACCTTCACTGAAAACTCTGTATCAAAACACAAAAATCTGAGCTATAAATTTTCAACGGGAAAAAGAAGAGTCATGCATTCATTCTACAAATATTTCCTAAATATTATTATATACCTTTGCATAAGTACAATTGGGAATACAAAGATGGCAAACCATGATCTGTGCCTTCAAGGGACTTACAATTTAAGACTAGAGAAATTGATAAATACAAGGAAAAAGAGAAATAGTGCTCAGTTGAAAAAACAAAAGATCAAAAACAGGCAATCCTACGTATTGGAAAGTGGATATGCCAGTAATAATGTATATGTTGGAGGGTGAACTATATGAACCATTTTCTTAAACATGTAGGCCCTAGGAAGAAATGGCATTTCATATTATAGATATGAATCTTAAATCACCCAAAAAAAATACTGGTTTCTTTTTTCTTTGTAAAATTATAATTAATTTAAAAAGAGGATGGTTCTACCACACACAAAAATAAGCTATGGAGTCAAGTGATAAATTGTTGGCTAGTTGTACTGCTCAAGTTCCTCTTTTTCCCACATTTTCTTTTACGTTTAAGACACTGAAACCTACTCAATGAATTTTAAAGCTTAGGTAGGAAGACAGTAGTACAGGTTAAAGTAGAAACATTGTTTGGATGCTGTCATGGATTGAATTGTGTCCCCCAAAAAATCTGTCAACTTGGCTGGGTCATGATTGCCAGTACTGTATAATTGTGTACCATTCTGCAATCTGATGTGATTTCCTTACTTGTTGTAAACTCTGTCACTATGATGTAATAAGATAGATTAGCAGCAGTTATATTAATGAGGTATACAAAATTGGATAGTGTCTTAAACCAATCTCTTTTAAGATATAAAGGAGAGAAAAGAGCAGAGACACATGGGAACCTCATACCACCAAGAAAGCAGTGCCGGGAGCAGAGCGCATCCTTTGGACCTGAGGTTCCTGTGCAGAGAAGCTCCCAGACCAAGGGAAAACTGATGCATCACAAGGACCTTCCAGACCAAGGGAAGATTGATGACACAGACCTTCCTCCAGAGCCAACAGAGAAGGCATTCCCTTGGAGCTGATGCCCTAAATTTGGACTTGTAGCCTACTAGACTATGAGAGAATATTTCTGTTATACCAGCACTAGATGACTAAGACAGATGCTTAGAGGGAAAATCGGTACATAAGTATTTTGCAAGTATAATCAAATTAATGTTGATTCTAATATCTAAGTTGCTCTAGGTTTGTAACTAGAAAAAAAAAATTGATATATAAAATCCTTATTGGGTATTTACAGGTTTTCTAATTTACCTACCTATTGTTTCACTGCTTGATGCTGTAATCCCTGGAATGGATGATGCTGAATTTGAGAAAACAACAGAAAAAAATTAGTTTTCTGTAGAGGGAAAATGATGTTTCTGAGATGGAACATCTATCGTCATATATAAAATGAGTCAGGTTAAAATTAATGTTTCAGAGAAATTTAATCAAATAGGTGGAATTCAAGTTTTAAAATCTAAAGACCACAATAAGTAAAAGGTCAAAGAAATCTATCATTTTTTTATATTTTCCCCAAAAGTTTCCTCTAAAACATTCTTTAAAAATATATATACTTCCTCTAAAATTGTCATTACAAAGGCATAATACCTGAAAAGGAGATTTTGTTTTGTTTTGTTTTTTTAAATCCCCTGTTGATTAAGTTGTGGCTGGAGATTATGGCTTACCTGTGCCAGGGATACTGGTAACCAGTGTAATTGCTATACCAAGAAGGAGAAAAATATTGAGAAATGTATGTTAAAATTGTATTGAAAAACAAAGTTAAAGAGTATTTAAATAAACGTGTTTAAAAATTTCTAGAATGAAAATAAATGAACAAATAAAACAGTTAAGTTCAATTATCAGATGCTTATGCATTTGAATATACTTTGTACGCCTCTGGACACTCCTATAATTACAAATCATTCCATTAAAGTCAAAAAGGTACTTGTAAATTCTGTTCAAAAAATTTAACATAAAATTTTGTGGAGTAACCACTTTCTCCAAATCAATAGTATGAAGAACTTTCTTTTTAGGACAGAGCTCCTCTTTTTAGGAAAGATGTTTATTAACATTACAGTTAGATATAGATCCTGATACTCAGCACTGACATTTAGGAAATGCATAAATGGAAAACAACAAATTTGAAAAAGGGCTAAAATGCCTGAATTTCAAATTAAGTTTGTGCTAATTCTGAAGTTAAAAAAAAGGTAACATTTTACCTGTTTCGGTGCTTAATACTGAGGTAGCTCTTGTAGTAGAAACTGTTTAGGAGGACAATATTTGTGAAAATAAATTAAGTCATTTCTGCTGGGAAATTTAGCTCAAGAAGTCAGTTGCTATAAACTAAAATTAAAATGTCTGAAATTGTATGTAGAGGTCAAATGACAAAATAATTTTTCATTTAAATCAATACAAATAACACTATTTATTTGTACTTATTTCATATATACCAAAAGTAACTATTTTCTGTTATTACCACTTAATTAAAATCTCACAGGAACTTTATAAGAGCTGTTTATGGCTAAGAAATAAGATCTGAGACCTTGACATGTGATAGCTTAGCTTGAGGTAAGTGGCCAATAATAACTAAAATATAAATAACATTTTAAAGAAGGTTATATAACTTTAAATACATTATCAAAACCTAAAGTTTCTAATCTACTGTGCTATCTCTTAATTTATGCCACCTCTAAATATCAATCAACAGGAAAAAAAATTCTTCCTTAAATCACTCAAGGCAGAAATGTGTAAGTGTACCTCAGCAACCCCAACTATACTTTTATTGCCAATAAATTAAATTCCCAAAACTAAAGTTAAACTGCATTTTCCCCAGAACTCATTTCAATGGTCACAATTAAAATCACCCTATAACTTAAACGCATGATGTTAGAAAAAGGAATTAACTATTTTTATTTCCATGTTTTTAAAACATCCCCAGTATGATTTAAAAAATTAACTTCACATAAAACTACTTTTCTTCTATTTCATTCCAATATTCCAATTATTATTAAAAAATTTTCAAGCTTTGGCCGATGATGTTTAACTAATAATTACAGAAGCTCTATTGTATGTTATAATTATATTCCTAGCTTAACTCAAGGAATATAATGGAATAATATTTTGACATATTTTCTAGTAACTGTCCATTTTAATCTAAAAATTTTTGTATCTATAGATTTACAAATATATATATTACTGGCACAGATTCATGTGTAATATAAAGAATTAGACACACACACACAAACCCACAAATACACCTTTAAAACATAATAATGATTTTACCTGTAAATGTTGTATTTGTAGGAACAGTTTCTGAAATAATCATGTTACTTTTATTGACAGGAATGAAAAATCTTAAAAGAATCTCTAGATCTCAAGTTGTCTATGAGCCATCTGTCTCTTATTTTACTTCTTGTCATTTCTAATACTACAAACAGCACACATATTTCCTTGAAGTTTGCTGAGATTTATTTTAAAGCTATGTGCTTCTTGTGAGTGATCTTTCAATTATTTAATTCTTTCTACACTGCTCCTCCCCTTCCACTCCATCCCTTCATTAAACTATCTGGACTGACTCCTTGCTCCTTTAGTTCCCAGAACCTACAGACAGGCGGGAGCACACATGCAGTAGAAGAACCACTTGTGTATCAGCCATTACCCAGTCTGCCAGTCATTGAGAATGCCTTGACAGCATTAGTTTTGAAGAATGACCCAAACAATCACACTCGGATGAGACTGTCCCACTTCACAGAGGAGCACTCTTAACACATTAAGTACCTTCTCTGGTGATCAGGAGCCCTGGTGACTCAGTGGTTAAAGTGCCTGGCTGCTAACCAAAAGGTTGGCAGTTTGAACCCACCAGCCACTCCATGGGAGAAACATATGACAGTCTGCTTCCGTAAAAATTTACAGCCTTGGAAACCCTATGGGGCATTTCTATTCTGTTCAATTGAGTTTCTACAAGTCAGAGTCGATCTGACAGCAATGGGTTCCTTTGGTGGTAATGGTCTGAAAAGATCCCAAACCCCTTAGCTCATCTTTCCTAAACCAATTAGAATAAAATACAACGACTCACCACCGCACTCCAACTCCCCTGCAATGCAATAGCTGAAAGTCAAACCAAAAACAAGAAGCAGGTTGAAATTTTGAGTCCTAATGACATGCATCCCACCAATAAAAAAAAAAAAACAAAAAACAAAAAAACCAAGAAACAAATTGTCTAAGAGTGCAAATCAAAACAGAACCAAATAAAAGAGAGGAGTAGATAATTTTTTCCCCAAGATCATACTCTCGATTCTTATCGTTCTTCTCTGTGCTGTTATTCCCAGTCATTTCATTTTGCAGTTCTTGGGACCTAAGAGAATGGTTTGCAGCCAACCTGGAAAGTTAGTTCTTCACTTTCAGTTTCAAACATGAGGTGTTTTTATGGCCACACTGCTCTAATATGACCTCTTCTATTTGTTTCCATGTGACTGTTTGAGAGTCTGTAAACATGATCTTATATTTATAGAATTAAAACTTCGTTTAACCTAAAACTACATGGTGACATGTTCTATTCTGTTTTCTGAATTATTAGGTATAAGATTTTAGCAAATCATTTGTTGATATGTGGGTTTTCTGAAACACAAAACAACTAACATAATTGAGATAAACTGAACCAAAAGCTGGCCTTCTTGTTTAGAAATGACAGGGTTAACATTTATATATACATATATATTACAAATATATATACACACACTTATACATACATATAATTCTACATGAAAATGCAAGAAATAGAATTGCTTATTGGAAAGTTAGTAGAGAATATACCATGTTCTTCCACAATCGTCTTGGATAACTCCCCCTGCTGGTATAATATCATTATAGAAACAGCTGCACTCAGATGAATCGACACATTTCATTGTGTTTTCGTCCAGATAGGGAGCACTCTCCGGGCATTTAGCGTAACAACCTGTATGTAAAAATGACTCACAGTTCATCTCTACTTTATTAAACTCATCCTACCATATTATACTATATTACATATGATCGCTCACGTGTATCAACCGTTACCAATCATTAAGAATGTCTAGGTAGCATTCATTTTGAAGAGTAACCCAAACGATCACACTGGGATGGGTATGATTATGTATTTTTACAGTTACGTAAATAATGTCATAAACTGAAGTAGACAATAGCAAGACAACATACTCATAATGAAAATATATAAATGGAACAGGACTCAGACACTTCTGCAATGAAATATCAGCCTGAGAGCTTAAAAATGTTGGCTGTTTTAATTTTTTCCTAAAATGTCTCCTAAACTATTTTTAAATTATTTGTTGGTTTAATGATGGGCACATTGTTGAACACAATATGGCTTTGATAAATATGTGTCTTAAAAAGTGAATGCCAATTCTAAGTATTTTTGCAAGGGTAGATGAAAATATAGAAGTAATAATAAAATGGTCTGACAAATTCCAAAGTCAAGATTTAACATAGATGTGACCTTTGGAAAGTTCTTGCATCATCTTGTTTTCTTGACACTAATTTCTCTCTCTCCCAAAATATAACATGCTAAGAAAAAATGCTGTTACGTGTGGGATATGGTTACTGGGCTCTGTTTAAGTAAGACTATATTGTATGTTGCTTGCTGAAACTGCATTCTCACCAAACTACGTTGTGTAGTGAAAGGTATAAAGACTGACAGATCATTTCCCTCTCTTTCTCTCCCTCTCCCTCATTTGCTCTCGCTCTCTCTTTTTCTGTTTCTCTCATTTTCTTGATTCTATTAAACGGATAATTTATGTCTAAAGAAAACACTTCTAACGTAGAAATATAAATGCCGTAATAAAGATAAGTAACTCTTCATTAAATTACAAAACGTAAGACCTGAAGGGGAGGAACTGACACCATTTTCCATTCTTAAAAGACCAATATTGTTTGCACTGCTCCATGGATATTATTAAAATATGTCTTACCTTCTAAAAGTGCAGAGAATTTCTGGCCAATGACCCGATCTTTGCATGTTTTTGCAGTCACTGTCCCACAGGGTTCATAATGCCAGTTGCATTCTCCAGGGGCATTGTAATAATCACAGTAGACAGCTACAATTGAGTTATATCAAATTATTTCCACTCATTATATGACAATTTTCACCCTCCATTTTCCAAAGCAGACATTTAAAAAAAGGATTTTGAATGATATTAGCAATAAGCAAAGCTAAATTATATTGTTCTATCTTATTAAAGTTCCTTTGACTGTGTTATCTAAACTGCCATATAAGCCAAAATAGGTCACATACATACAAAAAGAGAAGGATATAGAATTTAAAAGAGCGCTTTCCTTTGGCATCTCACACCAAAGCCAGTTTGAGGTGGAAAGGTAAACACTTTTCCCAGCCTGAGATATTTTAGGTCCTAGCCTAGATTAGTGGTTTTAATGTTTAAATTTAAATTGGAAAAATAAACCTCTGGAGAAATTAGGCTTATTTAGTATGTAAAAACACCGGTCCCCAAATGAGGTAATAAAGGTGTTAATTTGATATAATGCTGTGCATAATAAACTGAATGAAATGAGATTTCTACTTCAACACTTCTCATTTTGCCATGTTTTCTCTCATAATGGCTTCCTTTAGAATGAACAGAGTTAACAGATTTCCATAAAGGTTATTACATTCCATATATATAAAATTTAGTTTATATTCAGTTTATAGTTCATCTTGAATAGGGCTCTATAAAAGTTTTCAAGGCAACATATACATAAGGACTTGAACCAAAAATAGTATGTGAGGTAAATGTTTAGCGATATGTGGGTATACCAAAGTAGGTAAATACCTCATTGTTCATCTAAATATGAATAAAAGATATTTTCCATTAGCATTCCATATTCCCTGTGAACACAAGAACTCTGAAAACGAAAATTAAACTTGAAGTGCTGTGCCAGGTGCTATATTTTTTAACATAGGTATTTTTTTCCACTCTAAACAAACATATTAACGTGTTTTCAAACCTTTCTAGGTTCAAGAACATGTGGTTTGTAGAAAATACAAAAAAGAGATGGTAGTCTGTCAAAAAAAATCTATCTATTTTTTTTAGAGAACAACATATGGATTTTACTTACGACAGAGATTTGGTTTTCTCCACGGGACACAGACACCAACTGCACTGCACGCCTCCGCATACATAGCTACGGCAGTGCAGAATCCAAGGTACTTCCCCTCCATGTCACACGCACAGGCTTCTTCAATACATGCATCATAGTAAGCGCTGGGGTCAACCTAAGCAGAGCACAGCACATGAGTCTCTGGGAGAAAAACCTGTGCAAGTAATTGCTTTCAGACAGCAGTGTTACCTTGCTGTGGCAATCTCTGAAGGTGACGTCCCGGATGATCTCACATTTCTGTACAGCCCAGGCTTTGCAATATGGGTTTGAGTCACATGGGAAAGTTTGAGTTACTGTGTCTGAACATTCTTGACTTGTTTTCCAACTATTTCCAAACTCCAGTGTTCCAGAAGCTAGTGACGAATATCTAGTCGTGAAATCATCCTTGAGATCGCCATTGCTGTTTCCACAAAGACCACACACTTTGCCCTATATCGGTCAGAAAGGGGGAAAAAAAAAAAAGTTGGGTACTCGGTTTGAATAAAGCTAAAATCTTTACCCTAAAACTAATGATAGATAGATAGACAGACAGACAGACAAATAATAGATAGATGGAATGTAGACAGAGATATCACAATTACGTATACTGTATCATGACTGTATTTTAAACTCCAAATTTTAGAAAGATACTAGAATCTGTGGATAAGATTATACTCCCATTTAATCCAGTATCCCATACTACAAAATGATCTAGTATTGAGTAAGATAAATGCCTTAAGAAATAAGAGGTAATTACATTAGCTAGCTTTAAATTATACAGAAGTAGTCCCTAGGTTCATAAAATATTTGCTCTAAGGAATACATTAAATTTATTATATACCAACTACCTCAAAATCATATTATGTGATAATCTTAAATATCCAAATATGGCTAAGCTAGAATGCCTTAAGTCGATTATATTTATTTTTTACCAGACTCTCTCATCTTTGCATAGATTTTACATTTCATGATAAGCTTAAACAGAGGAGGAAGGCTTGTTACTGTAACAGAAACTCTGCCATTCACCATCCTCCCACTCACCACCTATAAACATCTGTCTCTAATTTTCAGTAACAGAAATGACTTTACTTCCCCATTAATCACTTATTAGTAATGTACATACATTCCAGCGTGGATCCAATATAACAGAGACTCTCGTATTCTTGTCCCAAATCAGGGTTAATCCAGATACAAATTTCAGAATCAAGTACAAGCCAACGGTATGTATGGAGTATGTGTTTGCACTGAGTTCACATTCCTTGCTTTCTGTAGTTTTGACTGCTGTTACTTTACCATCTTGCAAGATAACATTCTGGTCCTGTAAATTAAAATAATTTAAAAGAATCACTAAAATAAATATCAGCTTTATTTGGCTGCTCATAACCTGAGGGAAAAAGAAAATAAACAGAAATTGTTCTATACCTTAAAAGCAACTATAATCTTTCTTGAGCACGTAAGCCCATCTTCACAGCATGGGACACTTTCGGTTAAAACACGGAATGTGCCATTTTCACTGCCACAATAGTCCTTTAAAATGAAATTATAATAATAGTTTATGAATATCAAAGACCTGGAACTCAACTACAGTATTTTCTCAGAGGGTAACACTTTAAACTCAATACATCACCACATGCTATGTTATCGGATTTCCAAGAGATAATGGTTTAATTGCATTCATGGGCAGGTAGCCTGGGTTGAATCCAATCTACTTAACTTCCTTCCACTCAGCCTTTTTCCCATTACTTCCATACAAATTTGTAATTATACCATAGATACATAAATACTTAAAATTTATATGCTTGTAGTTGTAGATTTATTTCTAGTTCTGTAAATAGCTAGAGAAAGATGGTTTTCTTCCTCAGAGATTTATAGTAAACTTGATATTCAATCAAAGCTAATATACAATCCAAATTTTTCCCTGCATTACTTAAGAAGTAGCTTAGTTGTATGTAACAAGCATGAACCTTGCAATCACACAGATCTGGATTTGAATATGGCATTTTCCACTTACTAGCTTGAGTTGCTTAACCTCTCTAAATCTCAGTTTCTCCAGGATTTGAAGATGGCATTTTCCACTTACTAGCTTAAGTTGCTTAACCTCTCTAAATCTCAATTTCTCCATTTTCATCTGCCATAGGAATAATAATATCAACTTTGTAGTGTTATGATGATTAAACGCAATAAACTAATAAATCACTGGGCATACTATGCACTCATAAGATAGTAATTGTTATTGTTGCTGTTAGTGGTGGTGTTCAAATAATAACAATATCTAACATTGATTGAGCTCTTAGTATGTGCTCCAATGTTTGCTCTAATTTCATTTCAAATAGGGGCTATTATTATCCCCATTTTACAGATAGAGAAACTGAGACACAGAGTGGTTAAGAAATGTGCCCACAGTCTCACAGCTGATAAACACCAGCGTTAGGATTCTAATCCACGCCAGTCGTCTCCAGAGTCAGTATTACATTATATTTTAATGCTTTCTAGAAACATATATGGGGCCTTTTTTTTTAATTTCCCATTTTGAGAATAAAATTCTCCAGAGCTTATCTACAAATGAATAATTAAAAAGTATAGAAGATTGTAATAAAACACACTTGTAATTACCTCAAGAAAGGAATACTGGCAGAGACCATCAAAGCTATAACGTTTTCCATCAAAAGTTCTAACGTGACCTTCCCCATAGATATGGCAAGTGTTTTGACATTCATTTTGTGTACAGTTCCAAGATCCTTTTGTGCAAGTACTAAAAGAAAAAATAGTATCATTTTGATAATTATAATATGCCAAAATTTGTATACTCATTATTTTTGTAAAGAAATACAAATTTATGTTACACGTTGATTTAAATTTTAGAGTTATCTTTATTATATTGTATGATGGTCATTATATCTCATGCTTTATAAATTTTCTACTTTAAAAACAATAGCATCTTCTTCTAATTACATTTGACCATTATTTTTCCAAATATCCCAAAGTGTAACTTCTTCCTTCCCATAAAAAATAGGAACAGTTTGTACATTTTCTAATATCTAAAACTAATAAAATATTCATCTTTTAATATGTACCATTTATTGCAGCCAACCGAGGTGACACTTCCTTGGTCATATTCTCGTCCACCAAAAGAGCATGGGCAGTCATCAGGAAACACACACTGCCCTTTGGAATTTCGAACCATTCCTACTGGACAGTAGCACCCACGTTTGCAAGGCAAATTCTCCTACAGGAATAAATATAAGTATACACCATGAGGCTATAATCATGTCACACTATTGACATTTATTTACAACACATAAATGTGCCAAGTGCACATTTGGAGTTACAATTGAGAAGTCAAAATAACATACAATAAATTAAATGACATTCATTTAAAATTTTTTAATTGAAGTTTCAGTTTCCTTCTGCTTTAAACAAAATTCTTTAAAAGCTAAACTCTACCGCCATGTTAAAAAAACAACAACCAGTTGCTGTCAAGTCAATTCCAGCTCACGGTGACCCCATATGGTGCAGAGTAGAACTGCACGCCATAGAGTATTCACGGTTATAGTCGTTCTGAAGCAGTTTGCCAGGCCTCATACTTCAAAGCGCCTCTGAGTGGGTTCCAACCATCAGCCTTTTGGTTGGTAGCTGTGTACTTAACTGTTTTCACACTTAAGCACTTAACTGTTTGTACCGCCCAGGGACTCCAATGTCATTTACTTACATCAAAAATAGGTATGTTCCGAGTGCTGCATGTTATATCAGTTCTTTTCTGTGCCTTGGGATCACCGCAGTCTACATATTGAGCCCCTCCTGAACAGTTCTCTGCAGGGTAAAGGAAGTTGTTGTTAACTAAGGACCTCTTGATCTGTTTATTCTAATGAAAGTAGTTATTTTAAGTTTGCACCATGATTGCAATACTTACGTAGGGTTAAATCAATGGGAGTCTGGCAAAGAAGAATTCCATCACGACAGACACTAGAAATTAAACATAATGACACATTTAAGCCTCAAATTTCAAGAAGAGTTCTTATAACACTATTACTGCAACTTTAATCCCCACTCAGGCCACCTCTTTTATCCCAAGTACTTAGATGAGTGAGGCATGGTCCCCAGAAGAGGTGTTAAAATGTATCAATTCACAAGATATAGTCTGGTAAGCAGTATAGGAGTGTATAAATAGCATAGTTGAATATGAAATTATTTTGCATTTTTCATATATAGAAGCTGCTGGAATATTTTTCTATTAGTATTTAAAAGTAAATCAGAGTGGGATAAATCAGTTACTATAGCCATTATGATGCAGGAAACTCTCTAGGTTTAAGAGGACAACAACTAATCTTAGTAAGAAATGAAAAGTAAAAAATATGGGAGGACTAAGTAAGGCTTCAGGATCCCAGGTGGCACAATGGTTAAGTACTCGACTGCTAACCGAAAGGTCAGCAGTTCAAACCCACCAGCCGGTCCATGGGAGCAAAGACTTGGCAATGTGTTCCCGTAAAGATTACAGCCTAGGAAACTCTATGTGGTAGTTCTACTCTGTGCTATAGTGTTGCTATGAGTCCGAATCAACTGGATAGCACACAAGAAGAAGATGGAAGGCTTCATACTGTCAAAAGTCTATTCCTCTCAAAAGGACACAGTGCCTTGATTTCAATGTCATAACAAATACATAATACCATCTATATATAGTATCCATACCATGTATTGTCGTCAATATGGATGAGTTTGCCTGGTTGCACGACCTCATCATTTACGTAGCAGTCACACTGAGATTTCTGAACACACTTTCCTTCATCATTCTGGTACATTCCATCAGGACAGGAGCATCCATCAACTGGAACATCTTCTACATCACAGCTCCTATCTCTCTCTGACAATGATCGGCAAGAACTATTGCAGGCTCTGACATTGTACTTGAAAACTAGGCCACTTGGACAAGAGTGTTCTGTTTTTGCAGAAAATAAAAAATAGTGAATATACATACATTCAGGGAAATTATCTATTTTACTTAAACTTGATGTTTATAAATATTATAGTGTATTATTCAGAATTGAGGTTATTAATTTTAAAATGGTGCTTCTTGCTTATTGGTTCTTGGATTCATTTATTTTTTCAGTCAATATTGAGTCTCTACTATATGTCTACACACTCCACTGGGGATTAAATCCATAAACCTGATGGACGATACAATCCTCTCACATGGCTTATATTCCTGGGGGAAGGACAAATGTGGTAAGCGCTATGAAGAAGTAGCATAGGAAGTTCTAAGCATGTACAACTGGGAACCTGCACTTCATGAGGAAGGGGATACAGGGAGAACAGTAAGGCAGGTAGAGGTAACACTATGTTCAAGCAGAAGAGGAGATAATTCTTTCAAAGAAGTAGAAGATGGCAGCTATAAGCCCAGAGATGAAATCAACGGTCAAATCTTGCAGAGTCTTTTTGCAGTTTGGTCTTTAACCATAGACCAACAAGAAGCCACAGACTTGTTTTAGACTGGAATGTCAGATGATCAGGTTAGTGTTATTTCGTTTTACTTTAAAGATTACTCCGTAGAAAATGGATTAGTGACAGCCAAGAGTGGACACTGGAGGAGGCTGTTGCAATCAACCAGGAGAAAAATGGTGGTGTCTTGAACTAGGCTGGTGGCAATGGAGATGGAGAGAGATTAACGGATCTGAGAGAGAATTTGGAGGCTAACATGAAAGATCCTATTGATTGACTGGACATGGGAGAGGTGTTAAGTATAATCTACAAGAGACGTGTTGCTACAAATTTTCTTTTTAGTAACTCAAGTATATTTCTGAAATATTCATAGGGTACAAGAGATAGGTTTAAAGCCAAGCAGGGATTTATAAGAGCTTTTGATAACTGAGTTCCTAATTTACTGATATATTCTTATTTGGTTTATCTTAAAATAAGGTACTAATATTAGACTAGCATTTAAGAATGCATTGGCAGTCAGAACATTATTTAAATTTCAGCATACATCAGTCGGAATTGACTCGATGGCAACGGGTGGTTGTCGTTTGTTGGTTGTATATAGATACATATACAGATATAGACTTAGACAATCCAGTTTTTGCTTATGTTTCAATGCATTAAATCCAGATGAAAGAAATAAGAAGTTAATATGCAATGATTGTTTAAGGATATTAAAAAAAAAAAAATCTAGGGAATCATCTTTGAAAGAACCAGGTAGAGATTTATTAATACATGCATCCAAACTACACACACACACACACACACACACACACACAAGATGACGGTAAAATTGAAAAAGAAGAAAGAGTTATCTAAAACCTGTATCCTGCTTACCACATAGTCCAGTTCTCCAGCCCACTATGTATGTTTCCTTCTCAGCACACGCTTTCACATAGTTGCCTAACATTGCACACAGACAATCTTCACTCTTATCACAACTGCAAGTTTGTTTTTTGCATTCCTTTCAAATAAGAAACACATTTACATTGCATTACAGAAATAGTCACAAGAACAGGTTAACTGGGATCAGTAATTCAGTTCATAACCACTCCTCTATCCTGAAAAAAAACAACTTTGAAATCTTTTGAAATATTTTTCTTAAAAAATTTTCAAAATAGAAGCTCATTCATTAAACCAATTGTCAGAGAATTTAGAAAATACGGAGAGAGCAACTTGCTCAAAAATGTCCTCATTTGGGGGTTATATTTAGTGCCACCTGTTATTTTTTTCCTTTAAAAAAGTTAGTATGTCCAACAATTGAATAACTTAAGGTAATTCACTTTAAATTCAAACATATACATTAATACATTGACAATCACTGCTTTGGAAAATTTTTAATATCAACATGCTCTTGTTCACATCATACAAAATATTTCTTAAGAAGAGCCATTAGATCCTCACATACCTCAAGATAGGGTTTAGGATTCACAATAGGATGGCAGGGAGCAAAAGGCCCAGCAGAATCAAGAAGAATTGCACACTGCCTATCAGCAAACGTCTCTGGAAGAAAAATTAATGCCATCAAAACTAGTATCAGTAACATCATAATTTTTAATTGGAAAAAATGTGAATTTATAAGAGAGCTTTGACTTTATTGATTAAAACAATTGTGCTTGCAAAGTGCTTTACTATAAAAAATAATTTTGTTACTATGTTCAAAGATAGCATGATATAATCAGAAATACCTTATACAAAAGGGAAAAATGTTTACTAGCCTTGGATGTTTGGGTTAAATCAGTTAACCATTCTCTGAAATGAAGTTTCAATATAAAAATATGAATAAGTAGAGCAGATTATTTCTTTAGGTGCTTTTTAAGTTTAAAATTGATATTTATGTCTAATTATTACAAATTGCTAAATGAAGCTTCCACAAATTTTTGTTTGTTTTTCCTTCCCAGGAAGGTCATACAAGTTTTTCTGAAAGTCATACATTAGGACAACCACCATCAATAATTCAAATACAATAATTTTGTTTTCTTTTAAAGTACTTAATTTATATTTGATTTGTTTATAAATATCAAGCTGTGTATTAACACAACAGAAAATAAAATTCACAAAATATAGCATCTTGAGTGGTAAATGCTTGATTTGCAAATGCTTGAGGATGATGACCATGACTAGGGGACAAACATCTTTTAAAAAGTTAATGTCACCAGAAAGTAATAAAGACAGCTGACTAAATGTATTAAAAGGACAGTAAGGTGAATCATTTCTAAAATTTTGACTAATGCTTTTAAGCATATTACTGCTTTTTATGCAAAGATTAGTAACTGTTTATTAAAATACAGTTTAATTTTCTGCATTTCATTTTATTATGTTAAATATAAGACAGAAAATCAAATTTATATATATATGTGTATATATATATAAAGTTTTAGCATATACTCTACTTAACATGAATTGATCGGTTTCTTATAAGATGTCCATTCTTTCTGCCTAGTGTCTTTTTAATTATGTTTTTATTTCAACACCCCAATGATAAAATAACATGGTAAATAATACCCTAAAATATATATTACCATGTTTTTGCTAATGCCTCTATCAACTGATTTTTTTATTAAAATAAATAAATGAAACTTTCAAAAGAAATTGCTTTAATAATTTTAAATTTTATTATAAGCTGATCAGATTATTTGTTCCAAATATGTGGATTAATTTAGAAAGAACTAATTAACATATCTACAACATATTTTCACTTCTATTGAATTCCATATTTATGAAAGAAGCAACATAAAATGAAGAATTCACTAAAATCAACAATATCTGAGGGTCAGTAAAGCAAGGACTTGGGTTCAAAACACTTGGATTCCAACATGATCTCTGGCCTTTATTAAGAATACACTCTCTGGGCCCCATTGTCATCATCTGCGTTAATGGTAACACACACTCATGCCCTTCATGAGTTTTTATGGGAATAAATTGAACTAACATATGTGAAATTCTTTGATAAGCTAGAACACATAATAATAGATTAAAATTTTATTAGTAAGATCTGTATTTGGTGCTGGTATAACTGATATACATGGATATCAACGGAGACCTGGATCTAGCTGCACCTCTGCTATTAAGTGGGTCTCGCTATTATGATCGATGATCATTTCTACAACTAAATTAAGAGAGCAAGATTAGTGAATTAGATGGTCTCTATAGTCTAGCCCTGTGATTCTCTACTTATGGAGAAAACTGGTTTAAGAGGCAAAAAGTAGGTATAGGAAAAGGCTACTCAGAGGACCCTCCAATTAAGGATGTGTTTTCTTGGTCTTAGGAAGAAGATAATATCCTTTCTCATTCTAGAAGTCCACTTACCTAGCCAGACTGTGCTTCTCTGTTGTGTCCTCTAAAATGGGGACAGTACAACAAACACAAGCTAAAACCAGGATTATCTCATATTCTCGTATTCTTACCAAAGTAAGTACATATTTCCTAGCACCAAATATTTAATTATAGAGTTTGACGTTTAATTGATATTACCTGTTTCTATACTGACACACGAAGCTGGGTTTCCTTTAGGGCAGGACATCATTTCCCAAGAGTCAGCAAATGCCTGAGAGGTTTTCTCCAATATATTCTGACTTGACATGAAATCATCCTCTGCTTTGTTGTTGTAGGAACCACAGAGTCCTAGACAAAAGCACAGGATAGAGTTTAACATCTCTTCATCTATCAACTTCTTGATTTCATATCCTCACCTCATACTTGGTTCTTTAGTCAAATCAAAACCTGTAGAAGCTGCTTGAGAATATGCCTTACTTTTATTCTATTTACACATACGTAAAATTTCATGTCAGATTAATATCTCCATTTCATTCAAATTCCAGGAGCAAGGAATCACCATTTGCCATGGATACTACGTTTTGCCTGTGTGTCTGTTATAACTCAACCTCCTTTCACAATGTAGTAGGAAACATGCCTGCAGAAGGAAGCTTCTAACTGCATATTTCATGGTTTCAGAATAGAGAGTTTAGTCAAGTTTAGGATTGTATGCTCTTTCTGACATGGACCCTTCCGACCCATGAGTTACGTTTTTCCCCCATATGTAAATAAGTCACCTCCTTAGGTAAAAGTATATTGCCAAATCTTGAATCAACTGGAAATCAGTATCTCTTGTGAGGCTTATCATAGTTGTTTGGTTTATTTCTTTCTGTATGTCATGGCAGTGTGTAAGAGCTGATATCTGTAGTAGAAGATCTCAGTGAAAGATATGACTACGTAACCTATCAAAAAAGACAAGTGAGAATGTAGGTTGTATTTAACCCACGATTTTCAGAAGATTTATATCTGTAGTATTTTAATTCATTCTTCTTCAGGTCAAAGTCTTAGTAATGTATGCTAGCAAAATCAGGCCAAAGTCTTAGTATACCAGCAAAATGATAAATAACATATATTATAAAATCTCACTTAATAAAGTTTTAATTTAAAAACTTCAAAATGTTTAAATTATCGAAAACCTTTTGGGAATAGATTTTGGAATAAATAAAGCTGTCTTTACAATGAAAAGCAAGTTGGAATTGTTTGACTACAACACGGAGAGAAAGATTAAGTCAAATTGCTTCATGGTTTAGTGTCATTAATAGAAAGACAATTTGAATTACAATAAATAATAGTCACATTAGAATCCTGGGAATAAAAAAGATCCAGAGGACTTACTTACCTACGGTGTCTGTGAATTGGTTAGGTGGCATGGAAATATATAATTGCATTACAGGATCAATTTGTATTTGCATTTTTACTTTAAAGTATGTCTCTACTTGAACATACAAGGAAGATGCTTTGAAGATCTGTATTTTATCTGTTAAAATAATTATTAACATTAATTAATAACAATGATTAACTCTGTAAACAGTTTTTTATTTCTTAAATACTTTATTATCTATTAAAAATGGAAACATTTAATATCTGTTTAAAATATAAATTAATTAATGTATCTTACACTTATTTTCAATGATATTAAACTTACCGGAATAGTAATAACCTTGATTTTTTATCTTGTCATTTGTAACTGTGCCATCTCTATTGAATATATATTTGTCAACTGTAACAGACTAATATTTAAAACACATTGTTAGTTCATATTCATTTATACTATTAAGTGATTTTAATGTAATATATGAACCCGAATTTTTGTGCCATATAAACTTATTTAAGTTGATCAAATTAATATACAAATATCTAAAATACAGAATTTTTTAAAGAATTTATACTACTTTGCCTTATTGTTTCACATACCATCTCTTTGAGGCAGATTGTAAAGGAATCTTCATCCCCAATTTGTAGATGAGGAAGCTGAGACCCAAGAACGTAACTTGGATTCTCAAAGGTCAAACAACTGGTAAGTGTCAAGGGCCAGGCTACCTTTTCCCATTTAGATATATTTCCACTTATACTGTTAGTTCCAAATATATGAAACTCTAAACAAATGTCATTGCCTTCTAAAATGGTCTATAGAGTTTAATGATTTAATGAACAGATAATATACTGTAATTAGCATATAACTATGCATCTTTGGTAATTCGAATATACTTAAAGATCCTTAGAACTATCCAGTGCTTCCAGAAACTTTATCAATTTTCTGTGCAATTTAACTTATCCTATTAATTTATATAGCAAAGCCTCTCCAACTTCAAAAACTCTGAATTTGTGAAGTAATTGGTTCAATTTTACTTTGAATAAACTTTGGAAGCTGAATACTTACAGAATTCAACAGAAGTGTAACACTATTTAAACATGTTCCTGTTTGACCACTTGGACATGGACGAAGTTCAATACTAATAGACCAATCATCATCCTGTTAAAAAATACATTTCATTAAAATGTTTATTAGAATATTATTTGTTGTATGCTATCACTATGTGATTCATTCACAATGCATCTTTAAATGTTTTAATATGCACAATTCCTACATTCAACCAGTCTTCTCTGAAAATAGAAACCTAGTTCAGTTTGTGGTACAGTCTCCCAATATGACAAGAGCTTAATAGAAGGTCCGAGCGTCTTGTATAAGCTATACCTATGTATTCAATGATGTGATGAATTTTCATAGTCACTATTGTTTTATTTTATTTTTGTTTTTTATCTTCTTCTCAAAGCAAAATGTGCTGTACTGAGGAAATTAATAGGAATTAGAGGTATCATAACTTGTTTATTCTCTGAACAATCCACAATCTCTTTTTAAATCCAGTGTGAGAGATACCTGTAAAACTGCAAACTGTAGTGTTAAGTGATAAAAATTGGCTTCTAATTCACATTTAAATATCTAGGAATCCCTGATGTATAAGAAGTAAATATTTAAAATGTTTTGGCATATTCCCTCTCACTTTCCCCACATCGTCTATGCTCATGGATTATGACCCATTGCCATCAAGTCAGTTCTGACTCATAGTGACCCTATAGGACAGAGTAGAAATGCCCCACAGGGTTTCCAAGGCTATAATCTTCACAGAAGCAGACTGCCACATCTTGCTCCCATGCAGTGGCCAGTGCGTTTAAACTGCTGACCTTTAAGTTAGCAACTGAGCACTTTAACTACTGTGCCACCAGGGCTCCCATGGATTATGAGAGGAGAGTAAAAAAAAGAAAAGATAAAATATGCTGATAGTCAATCAGTAACCTTTGTTTTCAATAACTGATTTTAGAACTAACTACGTTTTGCAGATTACTGGACATTGATCCAGATCTCTCACCTGAGGATTTATAAATTTTGGTCATCTTTGTTTCTGATCAGGAAGATTAAATAAAAGTGCTTATTCTTCCACTCACTAAAGGCACTGGTTACAAAATGAAATCACCCTGTTTTGAAATTTGGATTACTTAAATACTTTAGTACTGAAAATAATTTAAACATAAGTGTGGCCTCTATCATACTGGTAATATTGTATTATTAAAACTAAAAATAAATATAAAGAAATAATGATGAAAGAAGACAATGCTTCATGGAATGTAAAATATTGTTCAGTTTGAAGCACTAGTGAATACATGTAAAGAAAAGTAAAAGAATAATTTCCAGTGTATTTAGAGAATTATTAATGAATAAAGAGGGTTTTTGTTAGCAAGGATTTTCCAAGGAACACAGATGATACTGATTATAAATGTCACTATGCAACAAAAAAATAGATATTTAAAGGTAGTGTTGTTTTTAACAGTAATTCAAAGTAAAGATTGAACTTTATATTGGTTGAGAGGTAGCTTGGTGTCTGCATCAGTTTTCACAAGTGTTGCTAGGCTACTACGTACGTGGATGGCCAAGAACTGACAGTTTCCAGGATGGTTAAATTTAACACCGTCAAAGGTGGTAAGTGAACTTCCTTCCACCTTACATCTCCCAGGACATAACGCTTCAGTGCAAGACCACTTCGCTTCTTGGCATGTGCTGTTAAAATGTAATGATCACGTTAAAGGTCATCAATCATGCTTCTCTATGATAAAAATAAATATCACAACATTTAAAAAATCACGACATAAAATAAGAAAGACATTTAGTCTAATTCCCTGCCCAACATCTTTGCTCCGATAAAATGTCTCATTGACAGTGGTATTCTGGTGTTTTAAAAGACCTGAATTCCATTGACTAGAATCATAACTTCTGCCTCCACTAAGCATACACAAACTTATAAACAAGATTGCAGTAATTTGTTCATTTAAGTTGAATACCTTTAATTATTAGTCCTAAAGTACCTGCCACATACCACATGAAATGTGCAGTCAAAAACAATCCAACACTTTTTAAATAATTTACATATGTGGCCACATTGGTGAAGATAAATAGTGTCCAATATGGTACAGCCATAAGTGGCTATCGAGCATTTGAAATGTAGCTGGTCCAAATTGAGATCTGATGTAAATGTAAAATACACACTTAACTGTAAATAAAATATACATATTGTAAATTCTCTACCTGTTTTATATTGTTTGCATGTTGAAATGTTAATATTTCGGCTGTATTGGGTTAAATAAAATACAGTATTAAAATTAATTTCACCTGTTTTTTGTTGCTTTTTTTAAAATGTGGCCACTAAAAAATTTTAAATTATATATGTGGATCACATTTATGGCTCATATTATATTTTTCTTGGACAGTGCTGTTGTAGATATGCAATAAATCATAGCTATTATTATTCATAATTATTATTAATATAGGATTACCACTGTAACAAATCATTTCCTATTTATAGAGAAATATCATAATATAAATAATATATTTTTTTTTATTCAGCCAGATTATTTCCCTACAAAGACAGAAATTTCTATAAAAGTCTTGTAGAAGTTAGGAGTTTCATAAAAGAGGTCTTAATGAGGGATGAAGAAATCTCTGTGGTCAGTATATCCTGGCTGAGCTGAAAAGGAAGAAGCAAGCTGGCTTTTCAATTAAAAGAGAAATTATCTACACTAGCTTTGGCATATTTAAATTCACTCAGTATTAAATATAATATGGCAACAGTACAAATAACAAAAGTTTACTTTAAAGGTACATTAAGGAAAATGTACTCAATTACATAAAAATACCAGTATTATTTCATCATCAATAAAATGAAGACAAAAAGCACACACATACCACTGAGAACCACAAGGACCTTCTCGGACTTCTCCTGACTGATACACATTTCCATTAGATTCACAGGGGCAATCAGCCTTTAATACACATTTTCCTTTCTCTCCAATATCATCCAACAGATAACCTAGAATATGTTATATAGATTTAATGTGAAACTATGTAAATAATAGTAAATTGTCAATCAGTGTGTTATAGATCGAATCGTGTTACCCCAAAATAGATGTGAAAGTCCTAATCCCTGTATCTATAAATAAGACCCTGTTTGGAGACAGAGTAAGGTGGGTCTTAAACCTAATCACTTCTGAGTGGTGTCTTATAAAAAGAGCAGAATAGACACAGAAACACATACAGGGGGAAGACAGATGCCACTTGAGGACAAGCAAAGAAACACCAAGCATTACCGGCAGACACCAAAAACTATGAGAAAGGCTCACAGACAGAATCAAAATAGCTGAGACCCAGATTTGGACATTTAGCCTCCAGAACTGTGAGAAAATAAATTCCTGTTTTTAAAAGCCATCCAGTTGTGGTACTTTTTGTTTGGGCAGCACTAGGTAACTAAGACACAGCGTTTTTCAAAATTAATCTTCAGCTAGTTCTTTCAAGTGTAATCATGCTCTTAAAACGGTAATTTCTTGTTTCAGCAATCACTTCTAGTTTGAGATGTGGCAAGAGCACAGAAAACAATTTTCTGAGCCTGCAGTAGCGCTCCACAGAGCAGTCCTATTGAGCCGTATGTGTCTAGAGAATGAACTGTGGCATACCAAGAACATCAGGTACTGCAGAGAGAGAAAACACACAGTAGCTTTAAAAATCTCTCCAACTTTCCTTAGCAGTTTTCAAAGAGGATATTGCAGGAATCGGTGAATTTATGAAGTTTCTTATTTTGTTACAGATAAGACGCCATTATATTTGTGCCAATTCATTTTCCAGTGTTCTAGTGTAAATACTCTCACAAGGGGTATTACCTTCAGGGCAGGTGCAGCCGCTCACACATTCACTGTCTTGAAAAGGAGCCACGTTAGAACAAGTTGCAGGATTTGAGAGTCCACATTCTTTGTAGATGTGCTTTTCTGGGCACAGAGGCTTTTCTGGAGAAACATATAAATACATATATATAGAAATTAGAGGAAAATGCATGTGATAAATATATAATTTCTAATGGTTATCTTTTCAGATTGGATTCTTTGAATCTGATTCAAGATATGAGTCAGTCTTTAAAAATAATATAACTACATTTATGCCAATTTCCCACACATTATATTATAATATTTAATTTGGGGAAAAAGTATATCATATATAATTTTACTTCATCTTAATTTGAATGGACATTCTACATGTATTATAATTTACAAGCACTGATTTAAGCATAAATAGGAGGTATATTCATATTTGTATGAAGCTCATATTTATGTTTTTAATCTTCTTGAAAGAAAATCATTACTTATCAGCATACTTTCTATAACTTTTGCAGTTATTTTTTACAAAATTTACTCATCCTTCCCTCTGTGACCTTTAGTGATCGTAAAAACTGTACATTTCCTAATTAAGTTCTTAGTACAAAGCACTGTAACTTGGGGCAAACTTTTCACCAAAATGGAGTTCAGTTTCCTCATAAGTACAAGTGAGAGACAAAACTCAACTGTCTCTCAAGATATCTCCCAGGGCTTAGTCATTTGATAAGATTGCTTCGAAACATATCTCAACTTTAAAGTTTTATATAGAAACTTACTTATTTGGAATTTACTATAAGATTAAAAACGTACCGCAAACCACATCAGAATCATCTCTCCAGGATTCATAGGTGCCAGGACCATCTGCAGTACAGAGGCGGGATAATTCTGAATAAGTGTCACAAGTAGAATTTTTGTCTCCATTTTGGCAGTACTCATCAATGCAGACCATTTTGTAGTCATTGGATAAGGAGGCAACTTTTCCACATTTCTCAAAGTAGGTTCCAATAATTTTGTTACAGTACTGCAAAATAAAGCATGATGTTATATTAAAACAAGGAACATGGATAAATAAATTTTTAAGAAAAAGTTAATACAGAAGTGTATTTTTTCACTATATCCTTTGACAGGGAGAGCAGTTGGGTTCTGTTGAAATGGAGATTTTTGAAGTATTATAGTTGGTACAGTGACTTCTGAAAGAATACTGGTGCATTTGACAATTTGGATGGTTATAGAATAACTTCAAATACAACTAAATACAGCTAACATTTCTGTAAAGGTGACATGAGTTTTAGAACTTGAGAAAATGGAAGGAATGGGGAAAGGAAAGATCGGATGACAGAGACCGGAATGGTAAATGACTGAACATCATAGACAGAAGGGATATTTGTCCTTTAACTGTTAGTCTGTTCATTACTTGATGAGCAAATAGATGAAAGTAAAATATAGTAACTCTGTCCTCTCTTCATGGGGACCATGTGAGTTTTCTCTGGAAAGAAAATATTTATTCTCATGTTGTTTAAGAAAATAAAGTTAAATATTATAGAACCTAAGACGTTCAAATTTCAGCATATTTCAACTACACATAGCTGTTTTCTCTTTTAGCAAAGTCTGTTTTCAAAGAAACAAAAAACCCTCTCAAACAAATGAGCAATTTACACTAGTTGGGCACTAGGAAGGCTGGATAACATTCTCCAAGGACAATATAACTGACTGAAACATAATCTTCAATTTTTTTCATCTATTATCCTTTGTGTATCTTTCTCACTAGATTATAGTACCCTTTAGGGGAAGAAATATAACTTTGTATCTTCTTGGCACAACACAATGTCTTCACATAGTAGGTCCTTACTACATACGCATTGATTTGAACATAAACGTGTATGTTCATTCAACTAACATTTTTGAGCAGCAACAAGTAAGTTCTCATACACGATGCAACTACCACAACAGATAAAACATAATCCTTGTCAACACAGAATTTATAATCTTGTAGGGAAGACATGAGGAAAACACGGGCAATTTTTATAGATGGTATCTTATCATAAGTGCCATATGAGTTTCACAGGCTGATAGAAGAAGAAGAAAGCAATTCCAACTGCAATGACCAAGGAGGATTTCACGAGGAAGATGGAAGATGATCTTCTTATATAATGTAATGACTTAACTTGCTTTGCTAGAAGATGAGAAGATTATAAAGTCAAATACAACACATTTTCAATAAAACAAACACCGACTCATACTGCAATGCTAAACATTTTATGGAAGTAACAACTTAATCATCTCCATCTTGAGAATTTTGTTTTAGGTTGAACCGAAAATATGTGAATATTCATTCAACCATCAAATGAATGCAATCTATCAAATTCAACATAACAAAAAATGTACAGAGTTATTGGCGAATACTGTCAGGTGTTATAATTAAAAAGTTTTACAAAAAGAAGGTAAAATGTTGGGAATGACAATTCAGACTAGATACCTGGGACAAAAAATTAAGGGAGCAAGAGCAGAAAATAATTCTTAGAGATGCAGTTGTAAATTTCCAAAACTATAAGAATCACTTCATTACTATCAAGAGTTAATAACGGAGAAGTGGAGCATATCAGTTTACAGACAAACTAAAATTCTATGCAAAGGAAATTAAAATTGTTACAATAATAGATAGTGAATATCATAATGTTTTGGAAAAAGAAACAACTTATTCTAGTATTTACAGCTAGACTAAAGCTGAGAAATAGACTACCAGGCACTGGAGAGGAAGCATTTGCAGAATTCTAATAATAAAGTATGAGTGCATAAAACAAGATGATGGCTACCTAAATTGAAACCAAGGGGGCACTGATGAAATTTGCTATGAGATGAAATAAAAATTTTTACCTGCATTCCATTTTCACAAACTTCATAGCTTTTACTAACGGCCTCAGGACAATCACCAGGAATTTTACTACTGGCAATGTGCTCATTGATCTCTTCCCCTTAAAAGAAAACATTGAACCATTACTTCATTCACTACATATATATACTATTCATTTCTTATATATGTGTGTGTGTATATATATGTATATATATACACACACGCATTCTTTTCAAGCTAAATATGAACATGGAAATGTGAATATACTTTTTATTTTAATAATTTCTCATTCTTTAAATTATGTGCAATTAGATTTATCCAGCTATGACAATCACTTCATAATTTTTCTTGGGAAAGCAATTTTTTAAGGAACAATCCTTTGAAATCTTACCTGGGATGCTGTTGAAGTTACCACAAAGACCACAAGTAGGATATTGTTTGTGAAGAGTGAGCTTCAAAAAAAATTGCATTTATATGTTTAGAAAATATTGAAAATTTCTCAAGACAAAATTTACCTAAAACAAAGGACAAGACCTCCACATATTCAATTCTTCCTAGGGGTATACTAGAGGGCATTTTTGAGGACCTGGCTCTAGAATCTGGCATGGACCCCAACTCTACCACTTATTGGTTATGTGTCTTTGGACAGATTATTTAACTTTCCTTAGCCTGCATTTCCTGAGTTCCATAATCTATAAAATTAAACTAATGGTAGCAGGTACTTCAAAGTATTTTGAATATTAATGCTTGTGTAGTGACCAATACTTAGAGAGTTCTCAATAAACATTAGCTCTATTATCCTTTAAATATACGATTTTTACAATTGAAAGTAAAAAGCACAGAATTATAAGAAAACCAGAGATGGACTTACTGAGAGTTTGTTATTTTCGTCCCACATTAAAGACAGGATTCCTCTACGGCTATTCAAGACATTATGTTCTCCATATGTTTTAATGTGAATCAGCTTATTATTATATGGTATCTGTACGCTATAAAGCATAAAATACAAATTCATATAAAAGGTATAAAAATTATTCTTATAGGCATATTTCCTTCTGATAATTCATGTTTATATACTGAATATCTTATAATACTAGCTAATAAATATAAAATTTTTCTTTTTCTTGTCATTTCAAAAGAGGAGACACAACGACTTTTTCCCAATATATAAAGTACTTTTCTAGAACAGTGACTAGATCTCTGGGGCTTTGGAGAAATGAACAAGGTGAAACATTAGACCAGTGTACAGAAAAACTGATCAAATAATTAGAATTGTTCACAAGTTAAATATGATGTCTCATTTTCTTATCTAGCAAAGTATTCAAATATACCGTCCCTTCTAAATCGGAATTGCTACTTCTAAAAATAATGGCCTAATAGTTTCAATCTATTGTGAAATCTCAAACCTATAGTGCAAAACATGTAAATGAAAATTGAAATATTCTTTTAACAGTTTTGTTAAATATGCACATTACCCAAAATCTAGATACTCAGAAAACTCAGTCAACAGAACGACTATGGTTTTCCATGTTGTTATAGGAATAAATATAATCCTTATAATCTCAAATATGATAAAAGTCGTATACATTTATCAAACTCCTGTCCTAGAATGTATTACAAATATCAATAAAAAGATCAAAATAGAAGGAAACTAACACCTCTTCCCTGTTCAACCTTCTTTTTTTATTTTTATTTTTGCTCAGGTTACTTCAAATAATTCTGCAGCATTTATTCAAAGCATTATGGCATTTACCTTTCTCCATTAACCAAAATGACATCACCAAAAATAGAGATGTCATTACTGTCAATTATGACTGCTATTTTTTCAATCTCACTCTCATTGTTTCGTTTGATCTCAATATTGAAATCTCCTTCAGATTCAACGCAGTGACGGCAGAAAGTGTATGTGCATGAAGACTCAAAGGAAAAGATGCGGCCATTGAAGGCTTTGTAAGCTCCTTTGCCCCAAGTAGAAGCTTCACCTATAAGACAGAGTAGAATATTTATAATTATATAGAATAATCAGTGTACTTTCAAGTTCTGATTGTTTTTTAAATTTACGTACCAAGAACAAAAAAAACCATTGAAAGTTTCTATTCCCACAGTCACCACCCTACATCAATGCTTTCTTTTCTCTCACTACTGAAAAAATATTCTTAAAGTAGTACCTCAGTACTTCCTTAGAATAATCTAATTTGGCTGCTGTGGTTAAAAATAAAGCAAAAATAGAAACATCTTGTTTCCCTAGGAAAAAGGGAAATAGTTTCTACTACGAGGAGGGGTGGCGCCCTAATGGCGCAGTGATTAAGAGCAAAGGCTGCTAGCTGCTCCTTGGAAACCCTATGGGGCACTTCTACTCTGTCCTATGGGGTCGCTATGAGTCAGAATCGCTCCACGGCAACAGGTTTGGTTTTTTGTATTTTTATGAGGAGGGGTATATAGAGGTGTATGGTATGACTTAAATTTCAAGCACTGCCTTGACGTCTTTGAGCCTCCCCCCAAAAATCAAACCAGTTGCCATGGAGTCAATTCTGACTCATGGGACTCCAAGTGTTAGAGTGGAACTGTGCTCCGTAGGGTTTTTAATGGCTGTGGCCTTTCAGAAGTAGACAGTGACACTTTTCTTCTGAGGTACCTCGGGGTGGATTCAACCACCAATATTCTAGTTAGAGCCTCTGCGCCAGCTAGGGACTCCTGGAGTCTCCAAGGGCACCATAAAGGCCTAATCCTGAATTTCCCTATTCTCACCACGTATGACCCTCAAAAAAAAAAAGCAAAACAAAATCCACTGAAGTGGAGTCAATTCCCTCTCATAGCGACCCTGTAGGACAGGGTAGAACTGTCCCATATGGTTCCCAAGGCTGTAAATCTTCACGAAAGCAGACTACCACGTCTTTCTCCAGGGGGAGCAGAATCGTTGACCTTTGGTTAGCAGTCAAGCGCTTGAACCATTGTGTCACCAGGATGCTCCCTTTCGGCTAGTTGTCCTATCAGGTGTCCTGCTGCACTGCACCCCCTCCTCAACCTAACTGAACTTGCATGCCAGCTCAGGGAAGTGAGCCACTAGTTTGTGTTTCAAACTAGCCAATCACATCCTGCTAAGGGAACCAGGGTTCACTCCACCCTCCAATAACTACAAAGCTTGCCTCCCACAGCCTTTGCTGATTTACTCAGCTCTCCAGTACAAACCTCGTGTGGCCCTGCATAGCCTAGGCTGTCCTTTTCCCCGGGGCCTGGGCGTATAGGTGGCTAATAAACTGCCAATCTCATCTGTCCAATGTCAGATGTCCTATGTTCTGCCATCTCCCAAGTACTCTTTAGGGCAGAGAATCTCTCCTTCATCAATGGGGTGAGTAGGAAGGGATCAGAACTGAGAAAAATTGTGATTTGTTTTGCTTTTTGTATAGATAGATGTTAATATTTTGTCTGAGTGAGGCACCATCTACATTTAATGAGTAAAGAAATATATGCATATATATACATAGGGAAAAACAGCACAAATACGGTGTTCAGCAAATGAACAATGATTAAACACAGGTGATGGGCTAGTTTTCAAAATTAGTTACAAAACTCAGTTACTTTGCAGCCTCATTAAGTACTGCCTTGGGCATAAAAATATTAATGAAAATCAGAGTCATTTTTACTTACCAACAATTGTATTTGTTTCAGAGTATTTGGGAGTTGCTTCTGGAATATGGGATCCTTTTTCTATTCAACACAAAGCACAGGTGATTTAAACTTTAAAACGTTTATTGATCTCAAATACACAGGATATACATGGGAATTTAGAAGTTGGTATTGAAGGCTATCATTGAGTTTCTTTATCCTGAATATATAATTTGGCTTTGTGAGAGCTAGGATTTTCCAATGTCACATATATGATTATCTCTGCAGGTCATATTTTTTCTGGAACAGTCATAGTATGTTCAGAAACCATTAACAGCTTATTCATTTGGGATCATGTACAATTACTAACATATGCTACATCATTTATAAAACTATTTTTTCAACCTCAAAATTAAAAATTTTCTAACCCGTTTTTAGGAGCTATGGTGGCACAGTGGTTAAAGTACTTGGCGGTTGGAACCCATCAGATGCTCCACGGCAGAAAGATGTGGCAGTCTGCTTCTGTAAAAATTCACAGCCTTGGAAACGCTAGGGGGAAGCTCTACTCTGTCCTACAGGGTTGCTATGAGTCAGAATCAACTCAACAGAAGTGGGTTTTAACCCACGTTTATTGGAAACCATAACCCAAAAAGCCCAAGGTAGATTGTATTAAATCAGTCTATTAACTAATACTAACAAATCAATTATCTATATATAAGAACAGAATTCAGTTCTCTGCATCAAAGGGAAAAAGCTGTGTACTTCAAAACTTTGTTTCCCATGATGGTTTTAATTCTAACATCCTGACCCTTTTAAGTAACCAAGTATATTTATATGAATTCTTAGGGTAAGGCCTAAAAGCAATCAGGACATAACAACACCAACAACAAATGTGAATACTCCAATAGAATTTTAAAATATTTTTCACAATGAGATTATTGTATTTCTTGAGGCCGCTTGTCTTTTCTACAAGGTTGTCTTTACTCAGGTTGAGTGGAAATAGATGGAACTCCTAATTTATCTGTAAGGTTATTTAAAAAATAATATATCTAAAATTATAAAGGAGAAGGCACACTATGTTTTATTCAAATTCGCTTAAAAATATTTTTTAATCTTTTTTACTTATGCAGTTTTTTCAAATGCCCTATTGGTTTTCTAAGCATTAGTACTGTACTCAAAGAAAAGAGACACTATAAGCTCTTTATGTGAAACAAGCATAATAATATCAAGTCCTAGTAAATCAATAATCAATAGAACATATCAAAATCATATATATATATATATTCTTCCCCCCAACCCCCAACACCCAAACAACCATAAGTCAAACTACCTGGAGTGCTTAGTTGTCCATATGTATTGTAGTCAGACGAGCTTGTGGTACCTATTTTAATACAAAAATGATTAGATTGCTTTCTGTGTATAATATGACTTGGCAAAGTGTGAAAAAAAAATCTGATGTATAAACCATGGATCCAAGTTCAGCAATGCTAATACGAGCAGATTTAGAATTATGTGAAGCAATATAAGGGGAAAAATGTTACCAACTTAACACGCGGCCAGAGTAACTAAATTAAATGTATTGCCACTAGATAAACTGACACCAAATTAATTTGTGGCAGAGCAACTGCCTTAAAACTCGTCCAGAGAAAGAGAGGTTGAGTAGGTAGGGCTCCAGGTCTCCTAACCCAGGTTCAACAGAATTTGCTCTCACTTTGATTTGTTTTACATTTGGGAAATCTAGGTACCATTTCAGGATGTGAACTGAACAAAAGATTCTGCAATGATAAAAATTAGAAGTATGAAAAACACTAATCTAGATGAACCAGGACTTTGGACCGGTTTTCCCAGGTTCAGTCGTGGCCCAAGAAGCAACAACGGAACAGACCTGACTTTTTAAAATATCGGAACAGAAAAAATTATAGGTCAAAGCCCTGCTAGAAATGTAATCTCCCTCTTAGAAGACAAGGGCAGCTTATGCACTGCATAGTAATCAAATCTCTTGCCAGTTGAATTCTGAGCAGAGTCAGAAATAGCAGTGCCCCACTCAAAGACGGTGGCCGAAGGAACTGCTCTGAATGTGTGTCGTTCTCCAGAATCCTGCCAATAATCTAATCTCTAGCATCTGGCTCCTGAAAAGGCTCACTACACCTCTCCCAACTCTCCCATTCCTGAGTTTCAACCCATAATTTCCAGATCACCCAAATTGTAACAATTCGGGTCTTTTCCGATTTCAATTCAGCAGCCATAGCTGAACCGGTTCAAACTTGTTCGAAGCTCTGAGATGAACAGATACCTTCACTAATGTCAAGAAATCCAGACCTCCCATTTCAAAGCCACTAAATTTACTGCCATTAGATACACTACCAGAATGAACACTAATTAATAAAAGTTTGCCTAATGTGGAAAAATCAGAACAGTGAGAGCCTAACATCCAAAGAGCAGAAAAATCTCAAATTGGTAACCACTCTACAAAAGAAAGATAAAAAACGGTGAATTCTTAATAAATTTCCCAGGAACAAAGTCTAAATTTGAATAGTTGACCTAATGACAGCAAATCTGGGGTTCAGGCATTCAGTGTCTTTTAAACCATTTGTATCAATTGCACTTAAAATTGGTGGCAATAAATAATGAATGATTCCAAATTTATTCGTTTCATTGAAATGCTGATATCAAAATTGATGGCCAAAGATAAAGAACTACTTAAAATAAAAGTATTATTTCTGTACGATCAAGACTTTTTTGAACAGATTCACTGATAGTCAATCCTGAGTTAGGTCGACCATCACTACACTACCCTGTAGCTCTTACTAATTTGTTTCAGTAAAGAAAAAGCAAGGTAGTAATCCTAAATTTGAATTCTAAATATGAATCCTGAATATGTGTCAGAACACGCATGTCATTAGAAGTGGACCCACTGCCCACAGTTCTAGTGCCATCTACTCTGGTGACACCAAATCCATCAACATCAAGAGAGATTTCACAAAAAGCATCAGTAACAAATATTATTTTAACAATTATGTATCACAAATTCCCAGACTATTCAATCCAATGTTTCCATTAAATGGAAATACTAAATTTTACAAGGATTTTTTTTTAACAAGAATGAAACTCATTTGTTCTTCTCAGAAATGAATCTGAAAAAACATCTAAGCCACCAAGTCCAGATCCACGATACAAAGCTCAGCCCAACAAATCAGCTGTTGCTATAACCACCTGTTCAACTGACTCCAAATCATTTTTGGAATAAAGGCAAGGGAAGAATTCCACATCACTATATTTATGGCCACAAAACCAGTTCCACATTTTAGGCCAACAAAATATTAAGTGACTTTTGCCTGATCATATCTAAGCGCATCTCAATGTTTCAGCGATCTGGTTTGCTTTTAAAATTATTATTAATAATGTTTATATTTATAATTTTCATTATTTTTAAAAATTATTTTATAACCTTGACTTTTTAATCATCAGAAATCAAGCTCAATGCCTAACCCAAGGGAACCAGATCCAGTAATATCCTTTCCAGTATCACCAGTACCTGTACCACTAAGGCCAGTTTCACCAAATTTGTTTAGTCCAGAAGCACCAACACCAAGTCCATCATTACCCTTCCTTCCTTCACCAGAACCAGAAGACCAAGTGTTTCCTCCTAATGGAAAATCAAAATACGATTAAAAGAAATAAAGAACAAAGAATTTAGATATCTTGGGAACTGAGTCTACTTTAGGATACCTGAGCCACTGACATTAGACCAGGACTCAAGTATCCAGACCTAGCAGATCTACAGCTACTATTTCCATTTCCTTCAGTTCCACTGACTCCAAATCCCTGTTGATCAGATGACCCCAAATTGAATCCTGAATCTTCAGAAACACTGCCAAAATATTCAGTCCCATTCCTTGCACTTGAGCCACCTGCTAAATATAAAATATTGGTCATGATAATATTTTCAATGCATACCATGATTAAGAATTATTATATATACTGAAATTAATTATCAATACCTAGATCACTAGAACTAGAGCTTCCAGAACCACCTACTCCATTTCCATCAAATTCTTTACCACTAAGGTTATTGCTATGAAACTGATTTGAAAGAGAATTTCCAAAATCAAATTGAGTTTCACCCTTTTCTTCTCCAAGTCCAAAATTATAAGACCAGGTACTGCTTTTGAATGAAAAAAATATATTGAAAGAAATTATGAAAGTTTGAAATCTATTTCAGTGTCACCAAAAGAGTCCACAAAATACAATGCCTGAGTCACAGGCATCAGACCGGAGATCCACGGATCCAGGTCCAGCAGCTATGCTCTTATGCATTCCATTGCCAACAGTCCACTGTCTCCAAATTCCTTTTGATCAAATGCCCCAACACCAAATCCTACATTTCCAAATTTACTACCAAGTTCATCCCCATTTCTTGCAATAGAAAAGAATATCCCAGCAAAATATTATGTGGTTATCACCAGAACATACGTCAATACTTTATGATTTAGAACTTTTTTATGCACAGAAATTAAATATCAACCCCTAAACCACCAGACCTAGATTCTCTACTACCTTTTAATCCATTTTCACTAAGGCCATTGTCACCAATTTGATATGAACCAGAATCTCCAGAACCAAATATAGCTTCACCCTTCCTTTCTCCAGATCCAAAAGACCAAGTCTTTCCCACTAACAGAGAAATAAAAATGTTATTAAAACATTTGATGAAAGGTGGAAATCAATTTAGATTTCACCAGAACAGAGTTCAAAATCAGACTACTTGAGCTACTGGCATCAGACCCAGTGCTGCTCATGTCACTCCCACCAGACCAACTGCTTCCAAACCCCTTTAGACCAGCTGTCCCAAAACCAAATCCCAAATTTTCAGATGGAGCTCCAAAAATATTATCCCCATTTGTTGCACTGGTACCACCTGCAGAATACGTAATGATTTTTAACAGAACATATTTGAATAAATTTTATGACTCACAACTTTTTCATGCACAGCAATTAAATACCATCACCTAAACCACCAGAACTAGATTCTCTAGTACCATTTATTCCATTATTGCTAAGGCCAGTTCCACCAATTTGATTTGAACCAAAACTCCAGAACCAAATTTAGCTTCACCCTTCCTTTCTCTGGCACCCTGGTGACAAAGCGGTTAAGAGCTCGGCTGCTAACCGAAAGACTGGTAGTTCGAATCCACCATTCACTCCTTGGAAACCCTATAGGGCAGTTCTACTCTGTCCTATAGGGTCGCTATGAATTGGCATTGACTCAACAGCAAAGGGATTTTCTTTCTCCAGATCTAAAACCAAAAGACCAGCTCTTTTCCACTAATAGAGAAATAAAAATGTTAGTAAAATATTTGATGAATGGTGGAAATCAATTTAGACTTCACCAGAGCAGAGTTCAAAATCAGACTACCTGAACCACTGGTATCAGATCCACTGTTGCCCATGTCACTCCCACCAGACAAACTGCTTCCAAATCCCTTTAGACCAGATGATCCAAAACCAAATTCCAAATTTTCAGATGGATCTCCAAGAAAATTATCCCCATTTGTTGCACTGTTACCACCTGCAGAATATATAATGATTTTTAACAGAACATATTTGAATAAATGTTATGATTCACAACTTTTTCATGCACAGAAATTAAACGTCATCACCTAAACCACCGGAATTAGATTCTCTAGAGCTTTTACTCTATATTCACTAAAGCCATTGTCATCAAATTGATTTGAACTAGAATTTCCAGAAACAAATTCAGCTCCAACCTTTCCTCCAATTCCAAAATCAAAAGACCAAGGACTTTCCACCAACACAAAAATCAAAATTTTATTAAGTGAAATAATGACTATTTGAGATTCAATTGGATTTCTCTAAAACAGAGACTGAGTGGAATACCTGAGCTACCCTCAGATCCAAGGCCTTTGAATCCAGCCTCAGCAGATCCACTGACACTCATTCCATTACCTCCAATTTCATTGAGTCCAAATCCCTGTTGACTAGACGTCCCTAAATTGAATCCCAAATTCTCAGACTATCTCCAACAAATTTATCCCCACTTCTTGCATTGGAATCACCTATGAAATATATTACTGTCACTGAGTATATTAAATACATTTTATAATTCAGAAATTTTTATGCACAAAATTAAATATCAATACTAAATCATTGGAAATAGATCCTCCAGAATTACCCAACTGATTTTTTTCAATCATTGTGCTACAAATGCCACTGTAACCAAATTTATTCAAGCCTGAAATTCCAAAACCGAGTGTATGTTCACCCTTCCCTACTCCAAGTCCCAGACCAAAAGATCTGTTTTCAACTAATGGAATAATAAAAATGTTATTAAAAATTAATCTTAATTAATTCATTTGTTTTTAAATGTTATTAAAATAAAATTACTTTTAACCAAAATTAATTATTTTAATTTTTCGAGAATAACTTAGTTGCAGTACTTGTGCTACGGACACCTAATCCAAGGCATACAGATTTGCCGCCAGCCAATCCTCCATCACTCATTTCACTCCCATGAGTTCTACTGATATCCAATTCCTTTTGACCAGATGTTCTGAAACAAAATTTCAAATCTCTAGAGGCACTGTTACTAAATTTATCCCTGGTTCTTGTGTTATTGCTATCGGCTAAATTTAACAAAAAGATTGTCCTCAGGGTGTATTTTAAAATACTTGTAATTCTTTACTTTTTATGTAGAAAACCTGAACAATAATACCTAGATCCTTGGAGCTTGACTTTTCCAATGTTCCCTATTTCATCTTCATCAAAGCCTTTTTGTTCAAGATTACCAATGCCAACTCCACCTGAGCCAGAATTATCAAAACCAAATCCAGATCCACCCTTCTTTTCACTATCAAGTCCATAATCAAAAGATGAAAGTACTTCATCTAATGGAAAAATTAAAATGGTATCAGGAGTAATAAACAAAGAGTCAAAATTATTTCTATTTTTTATTCTGGATCAGAATTCCTGAGCCACTAAGAGCCAAGACCCACCCTAATAGCCAAGGATTCATCACCAACGAACCCATTGCTATTCTTCCTATTTCCACCAATTTCCACATCTTTTAAGGCAAGTATCTGACACAAAAATACCTAGAGTTACTGTACTGGATTTTTTTTGCCAGATAAATGAAACTTATCCAATCTTTTGTAAAATTCATTTTTCTGGCATTCTTTGAAAAAAAAAAAAGTTCAACTATGAATTACAGACCATAAAAAGTTAACACTGTAAAAGTTTAAAGAAATATGAACCCCAAATTCTTCTGTTACAGATAACAAAACATGAGAACAAGAGAGTTCAAGTAACTTTCCCAAAGTCCACAACAGGTTAGTGAGAAAGACTGAGATAGAAACTGGGTCTCTTCCTCCCAGGTCCAAGCTCCTTCATAAGGTCTTAAATCTATTTGCCTCTTCATGAAAGTGTTTAAATTTCTAATTTCTGTTGAAGATAACACAGATTCTTTAAGAACCAGTCATATAGTTTACAAATCTTTCCCATGAGTACTTCTAACGTTAAACTTGTTTTGGTAAAAAACAACACCAATCCTTGCTTCACTAATTAATTGATTTTTCTGCCAAAGCGAAAGCTAAGAAACAATTTATAGTACCTGCTTCCTTGGCTGCAGAATCAGAGCCAGCTAATCCATTGTTTACCACATTCGCATCAAATCCATTTTGGTCAGATGAACTATGACCAATTTCATTTTGGTTTAAAGGAGTGCCACCAAATTCCGTAGCACCAGAGACACCATTGTCAAGACCAACTGCTGAATTGGTTTCATCTACCATATAAACATATACTCATTATCAAGGAAAATTTGCATTAATTCATATTATGCAAGAAATTAATGTAGTACATTTCTTGAACTAGGTCTACATTATAGTTTTGGATATATCCCCCCGTATGTATTTCATACTATTTTCATAAACAATTCCACAACATGTAATCATGGGTATACATGACAACCAATTTATCCCAAAGCTGAGAAACTTCCAGAAGAGGAGTGAGGCATCAAGGCCATTTAAGATATAATTTCACTATGTTCTACAAAACACGAGAAAACACCTCAGAACTGTAAACAAGAGCCAGTATAACTGCCTTAACTCAGTCCTACTGATTTTGTCAATCACAAAACAGGTGGGCAGGCAGGGAACTTTTGCAACCTTCTTAAAGATATTTCAGCCTCAACTCTGTACCCACAGTTGTTTCTCCCTGTTCAATTATCACCACATAAACTCACATATTAAATTTTAATACAAAATATTGATATTATTATCCTTTCTGGAACTCCTTTTTTCCTATTTTTGTAGAAGTACAAACTATAGAGAATTTAGGAAGCAGGAAGGTAAAGTAAAAATTTAAATTGGCCTATAGGGAGAAATGCATTGAACAAGACAGGACATGTCCCACCTAAAGAAATGAAATTTTTCTTCCAAACAAAACAAAATTTCAGGCCACAAACAGTTTAGAAACCCTGCTTTATAATATTACTCAACAATTTTAGTACGAAATTTAAAGAAAGAACACTGATATGGAAAACAAATTGTGTTTGGAAACAAAAACCTGAGTGGAAAGACCTACAGTAAATTTGGGTTCAGGAAATATTTCAAATTATTTCTTTATACCATGAAAAAAACTGCCATATAAATGATTGATCATAATGATAATAGAAACAGAGAGAAGGATAGCAAGAGAAAACTTAAATTGCCAGGAAAACAATTTAATGTATACATCTTTGCCAATATTCCCTAAAGACAGAATTCATCACTCTCATTGGCACTGGAATTAGTATCTTTAGATTCTCCAGTAACATTACTAAGGCCATTTTCTGCAATTAGAACAAAGATGATCAGACTATCCCAAATGGAAAAAAAGTACTTGCTTCCTAGGTAATCATCTCTTCTCTAACAGTACCTGCTGGGAAGTCATCTAACTCTAAACTATCAGTCCCTCGGCATTCTCTTGGAGCACTAAATCCAATGTCAAAGAGTCTTCTGTTTGAGTTATCAAAGGATGAACTACTGGACAAAACGTTACCTAACGTGAATGACAGAAGATATTATTTGAAAACAGTACTACTAACACAGGTTATAAAATGATCTGATAGTGACACTAGGAAAAGTCATATTTTATTTTGGGTAAGCCCCATTATTCTGGCAGCATTTTGAACAACATTTGCTATGGATTGACTTAATCACCATATCCTTATCTTTTTGTCATGGTTCTAAGACCTCAAGAAAGAGAGAAGAAGAAAGCTGTCAAGATTTAATGAATAATGTGTATTAGAAACTCTTATCAGGGATAAGGCAGATACTTCCTGGTCTTCTTTTTTTCATTACTAATCCCCAAGTTCCAGTGTCCCACCTTCCCCCTTAAAAATATTCTGCATGTTCAGTTCACACTATCTTTGGCTATTGCAACTGATAGCTGATAAAAATTAAGATAACATACCTGATTCTCTTTTCTGTCTTTCTGCAAAGGAGAAAAAATGGAAACATTTACTCATAAAATAATTGTAGCATTCACCTCCTTCAAATCTTAGCTTAAATGAGGTCTAACCTGACTATCTAAAATTTCAACCCCACTCCCACCCTAATATTCTAAATTACTATTATATTACTCTATTATTTCATAGACTCTATCACCTCCTAATATACTATGTTTACTGCTCATAATGTTTATTGTTTATTAAAGGTTTCCTTCTTCTAGATTTTATACTCCATTTTAAGCTAAGGTTTTATTTACTTATTTTTACCTGTTTCATTCACTGAGACATCCCAGGTTTCTAGAACAGTGCCTGAACCATAGAAGGCACTCAATTAACTTTTATTTAATAAAAACATTCAACAACAAAGACCTCTCCTTTAGATAATGTATATTGAATTATGTGTATATTGTATATATATCATATTGTATTACATAAGGCAAGTTGTGCTTTCTGTCATACCACGTAATATTTTTAGAAAATATCTAATAAAATTAAAGTACATTAGAAGTAATAACATGCTAAAAACTTTGACACTTCTGTAAAATTGTAGAAGACATGTATTTTAGTTATCGAGTAGACAAAAAAAATGAGATGCATGACTTCAAAGTAAAATTTAAAGACTACTTTTGGAATTCTGAGCCATTTTCCACTTGTCTGGCAAATATATTTGTATCTTCTAAAGCAAATGGTATACAGAAATAAGATAATAATACGCTTTTTAAAATAGTCAAAATAGGAGTTAGTCTATTGTATCATTTGATAGAGAGACCCCTAAAAGTTAAGTCTTTATGAAATTATGATATTCACCTATAGGCGCTTGGTTTAGGAGGAATACAAGTGTTCAAACCAGGCATAGCCAATTTATATTATTATGTTATTAAGTAACCATCATGCTACTATTACTTATCCTACTTTTCTCCATGCTCAGTGTCTTCTCTCTTTTCTCCCCTTTTTCTCTATCTCCCTTGTTTCCTCATACTCTTTCTCCTTTTACTTCTACTCTATCATTCTACTCTTTCTTCACTCTAATATACTTTTAGAAGTGTGCCTTCATATCTAAATATCTTAATTTCATGGCAAAGCAGAAGGAGATGAGGCCATGTTCCACAGTAGAAGGAGTATGAGCTTTTGAGTCAAACTCATCTGGACTCCCCAGTTGCAGTCAGAACGTCCTTGGACAGTACCTCTCTTAGAGTTAGGCAAGAGGGGCTCCTGCTCTCAGCCACACAGTCTCTCTCACCTTCCTCAGGCCATGGCCCTCCTCCAAGGACAAAATATGCAGGCAGAGGGTCAAGGGGTCATGCTCACCTAGAGCCTGGGCCACAACACCCCCTTACCCATTCTAGACCTTGTTCTAAGTCCCCAGGACCCTAAAGCCCCAAGTCTGCTACCAGGGCCTGCATGGATGTCTTTCCTAAGACTATCTTCCCAAGGTTCGACCACATTGCAGGGATGAGGACCTCTAGCCTGAGGGATAACCAGGGGATGGCTTATTGCAGAAGCAATAGATGGAGCTGAGGCATGCAGGCTTGGATGTCCCTCTCAGTATGGGACAAAGCCAGGCATGCAAAGAGCAGAGGGATAAGAACCTTGGCAGGGCCACTGCCAACTCTGCTCTTGCACTGAATTCCAATGAAATCTGAGCAGACTTAATAAATCCTGTCCATAAACAGGATGAAGTGATTTTGCTTTCTTCGTAAGACAACTAACAGGCTGTTTAATCTTGGTTTATGTTTTACCTCAAAGAAAATATTTTCCAATTTTATTGTATTTAGGTTGCGGAAACAGACAGGGATCTAAAATGCTCTATAAGAAAAACACACATGAATGATCCTGGTCTATTTTGATTGTTATTTACAGTAGACCAGGGTCAAATTGAATCTATATTGGTATCAGCAAAAACCGTACTGCTGGATTCAAGAAAACTTCCATCAAAGCATTCTTGTTGATCTGCTGTGGCTTAGTTGTCATTTTTTTTGTAGGTAGGGAGACTTTAAAAAATAGATAACATTCCATTATATTCAATAACCTGAAGGAATTTGTATGACAACTGTTAGGACTAGGATCTATTTTAATTAAAATAGATCACTGAGGAATTAATCCTAGAACACAAAATAAATGTATGTTCTTTTATTAAACATAAAGGAAAGTAAACCTTTGAATCTATACATTTCTCTCATATGTTTGAAAACATTTTAAAAAGCAAGTAACCAGAGAAATTTCCATTTCAAATTTCATCACCTTTATTTCATCACCAGATTAAATATTAAAATGTCTGGCCCAGATTATACAAAAACACACTAAACTTTGTTTATAATAATAAGGAATATTTCATTATAAATATTTTAAGGATTTTGCCAGGAGAGAGATTCCCCCCAAAGAAAAGTACAGCCTCCCTATTGTTTTTTTAGTATAAGAAAAGAAAACAAAGTAATTTACCTGACCTACTTGCCAAAGAAAGAAAAGGAGAATTGCTGTCGTTAGTAGCTTTTCTAAATGACAAAATTTGCCAGTATAAAGTGAATCTTGATTAGAGCCATTTCTTGCCTTTGGGGGTTTTGTTTCATAGAGATATACTAACTAACTGAATTCAATACTCAGGCATGAATATGCTACTTAACCATTGACCATGGTATATTTATACCCCTCCAGAACACCAGTGGAGCCCTGGTGGTGCAGTGGTTTAGGACTCTAACCAAAAGCTGCTAAACAAACGGTCGGCAGTTGGAATCCACCAGCTGCTCCTTGGAAACCCTATGGGGCAGCTTTACTGTGTTCTATAGGGTCGCTACGTGTGGGAATAGACTCAACGGCAACAGGTTTGGTTTTAGTTTGGCAGAACACCCACATAAAGAAGAAAGACCGAGCCAATCCTCCAGCCAATCTGGAACGCAGTCTAGATGCATGAATTAGAACATAGCAAAATACACATACGTATAACGCATACCTCCTACATTTGTTTGCCAGCTGCGCCCTCCCTTGGTGAGGTATTTTCATAAGGGCCGCTATACTTTTTTTTTTTTTTTAAGTAGAAATACAGTAATGGAATCATTTTTGAAAGACTGAATGTTGTTGTTAGGTGCCGTTGAGTCGGTTCTGACTCAGAGTGACCCTATGTACAACAGAACGAAACACCCCGCCAGGTCCTGCGCCATCTTCACGATCATTGTTATGCTTGAGCCCGTTGTTGCAGCTGCTGTCTCAATCCATCTCGCTGAGGGTCTTCCCCTTTTTACTGACCCTCTACCAAGCATGATGTCCAGCTCCAGGGACTGGTCCCTCCTCATAACATGTCCAAAGTGTGTGAGACGAGTCTTGCCATGCTTGCTTCTAAGGAGCGTGACTGAATAGGTACCTTAAAATGCTAATCATTGTTCTATTGGTGAATTTCGGAAGTTTCAGCTTAAAAAATATTTTCATGTGACAAAATTGCTGGATAACCGAAATTCCTAAATTTGAACCAGATGGTTACAATTTTTACTTTACTGTTAGATACAAAGATTCACATCTACACAATCTTCAAATGATATAAATGTTATTATAGTTAATCAAGGTGAATTTTTTCCACATTAAAATAAATGGTATATAAATACGCAAGTTTGTCAGCACACTATATGTGTCAAAAACTCTCAACAGGAAAGAGTACATCACAATAAATGGCACAATTTACATACAAACACTTGTTGTTGTTAAGTTAGATGTAGAGATATTAAAAAAAATAGTTTTACCAAATGCATTAAGGCATTGGTCTCCAAAAGAATTTTCTCAAGAACTATGTGAACTAAAATACCGTATTTTTCACAAATAACGTGTGCATGTAAATAATGCACACGCATATAACACATATAGCGCACCTAGGAAAATAATGTGAAAGGGGGTTGCACAATTGGAAAAAAACAAATATAATGTGTGCATTATTTGTGTAAAAATACAGTATTTAACAATGACTGTAGAGTTTTGCTTGTAGAGTACATATTCAAAAAACCTCAAAAACATTTTAGATAATATTATTATTTGGAGATTTAACAAATTACAGGATTTATTTTTCTTTTTAATTCTCTATGGTCTATGATCTTTACAAATTTCCTAAACCAAAAACTGACTACATTATTCAAATAGAAAGTTCAAGAAACTTGGTTTGATACTAAAATAAACTTTTAGAAATTGGAACTGTCCTGGAAAATCTAGAACTTTGGTCAGTAAATCCCAGAGATAGGGCATAAATTAAGATAATAGAGCAAAAAAAGCCGGTTAAAAGATAAAGGGTTTCCCATGTGTTCTGCTAAGGAGGCCTGGTGGTGCAGTGGTTAAAGCAATGGACTGCTAACTGAAAGGTCAGTGGTTCAAGACCACCAGCTGCCCAGAGGGAGAAAGATGTGGCAGTCTGCTACTGTAGCGATTTATAGCCTTGGAAACCCTATGGGGTCACTATGAATCGGAATCGACTTGCTGGCAGTGGGTTTGGGTTTTTTGTTTTTTTTTTTAATGTGTTCTGATAAAATTTATGTGTAGTTACACATACAAATACACATACATATTTAGCCAAAAGGCTATGAAGTGATGGTTTATAGGTACCATTCATTGTTGTTGTCTGTTGCAGTCAAGTCGATTCCGACTCATGGCAATCCCAGGTGTACAGAGTAGAACTGTTCCATAGAGTTTTCAAGGCTGTGACCATTTGCAAGCAGTTAGCCAGCCCTGTCATCCACAGTGCCTCTTTGCTGGGTTTGAACCACCATCCTCTTGGCTAGTAGTTGAGCACTTAACTGTTTGTGTCACTCAGGGATTCCATAGGTATGATTTGGAGACACTGAATACATATGTTTCTGAAGAAACATTGTACGGTAACATTCCCCATATTGGTTAGATACCTGAAATTTTTTAACTTTTTGAAATGTAGGTTGCAGTCAAGAAGTCAGTCCCCAAACTCTCTGGCAGAAAATAGCTACGTCACAAAACCCATGCCTGAACGCTTATTCACTTTACCCACCAGGAAAAAACTCTCGGGGTCTCACTCAGAGTGCACACTCTTACCACAGATACAAGGCTAATGAAAAGTAGATCAGTAATATTCTCATCCCAGTAGACTGAAAGCAGTAAATAAAAATTGAAACTGGGTAAAAGCAGATACAATGATCCAATCAGGATATAGAGCTTATTGCTGAGCAGAAGTGAAGAATCAGGAAGGCAAATCAAAAGCAGACCTGGAAACTCAGAAACCCTCTCAAGAGTAGGGAAAAATTGTCTTGCACACATACAATAGACCCCAAGGACATCATTGCATGATCTGCAATAAGATAATTGGCGTTCATTTTGATGTCCTTAGAAAAAGGTTAAACTGTTCAGAAGCACCTCATACCCTTGAGTAAGAAGATAGGGCATCTACAGTTTACTTCAGCAAGTTTACCTTGCAGAGGATTTGTCTACTTTCATACAGAAAATTATTTTATGCAGAATAAATCACGTGTCAATGATCTAACATTATTTCTTTAATTTAAAACAAATGTATACTGAGTGCCTGCTACATAGCAGCCACTATTCTCAACACTGTGGATACAGCAAAGACCGCACCTTGTCCTCGAAGAGTTTACAATTGTACGGGCTAAATGAAGAGTCCCAGTAGTTCATTCACAAAATCAAATGTATGTGAAAAACATTAGTTTTCTGTGTTCCAAAAGCAGGTTCAGAATACAACTTGCTATGTCAAAATAAAGATTAATTTATAAAAGATACTGACCTGATTTTTGTTTGTAAAATAGAGTTTCCCCATCTATAAAAAAAAAAAAAAGTGAAAAAAAACAATAACAATTAAGTCATTTGTGCTTTCTCAGTAGCATATTTTTAAGACAATGAGAATCATGCTCTTCTTGTTTTCATTCTTCTTTAAAATTCAGTATAAGTAAACTATGTTTTATATTTGGTAACTGTGATATTTCAATGTTAATTTGTTATTTTGGAGTTTTCATATTTAATAGAACACATTTATACAGATTAAAATTATACATTTACTTATCAACATACTGAAAATCAAAGTTTTCAATGTCAATTCATTCTTGGAAATATATGCAGCCTAATGAATTAAACTACAGATTATTATCAGCTAGTACTTTATATTTGTCACACTATCATAATCTATTACAATTACCAATCTTAAGTATATTTTCTGATCTAAAATTCCCTTGATTTTAATGTCCCTAAATATTTTCTGGTTGATATATTCATAAACAATGAATTAGCCCCCTACCCCAACAACAACAACAACAACAAAAAAAAAAAAAAAAATAGAGAGGAAAGAAAGAAAAGAAAAAGAGAAACGAGAAAAAAGAACAGACAACCAATTGTATAGATTTTACTCTAATGAGAATATAGAATAGCCTGGGAAAAAATAAGACTTGATTATGCATATCTGTTTTGTGTTAAATCTACATCTCTTATCACTGAAGCTTTTTCCATCTAGCCAGGATGTTTTTTTCTTTTACTTTCTTCCTAATAGTTATGGTTGATTAAACAATAAAAGCTTTTCTTCTAGTTGATCATATAGTTGACACCTAAGAATTTGTCTTCACTAGCTTCCAGGCCCCCAAGCCTTTACCATCTGTAACCTACTGAAAACGAAGGGAGTCTGTGTTTGAAACATAAATCTCACTGATTAAGAACAAAAACGAATTTCAACGAAGGCAACTTGAAGTTTTGCAAAACAATTTTCCAAATATGTTCCCTAATTCCCAGGATGGCCTCAGATACATAAAATACCTGAATTTTGTCAACAAATAACCAATGCATAGAAAACTTTTTTAAATAATTGTGATCATTTTTGAGAACTACCTTGGATATCTAGGAATCCACTTTAGAAATATTCTCCAATTCCTCAGTGATTTTAATAAATTTAAAAAGATATTTTTAAACTACGTTTTGTTGTGATATATCATTTAATATAAGTTTTTGCAAATGATGTGTTCTGTGCTCTAGTAAGAAATAAGAAACACATTTATGCAAAGTAGAAGTGAAGCACTATATAGTATTATAAAAGTCATTTTTATTTGAAGTACTTATTTTCTAAAAGTCTATCTGAAGATATCCTAGGTAGTTGGGTTAAGAATAGAAATACTTTCTCTTAAGTGTAAGAAATAATTGTAGTCGTCTATACTCTGAGTTCGCATAGAAAAGCTATACAACAAATTGTCTCCCTTTTGCAGACTTTACCCCTTGTGTTTGATAATGTTATTTCTTCTGCCCTTTTCAGAAACAGAATTAAGGATAAGAAATAAATTTGTTTCTAAAGATTTTCATCTTGCTCAATTTTGAATTTTTAAAAGAATAAATTAATGATGTCTTACCTTTCAATTCATTTCAGAAATTAATTTACTTTCTGAGATATTCAGGAAAGTTATTAGTTTAAGAAACGTTTTACCTAAGAAATTTTTTCTGAGGATAAATCTTTTCAACTGATGTTTTCATGATTTGTGAAAATTGCAATTATCAGTGTGAAGACTTAATGTGGATGTGAATTCAAGATAGAGTTATCAAAGGATAAACTGTGATGAAAAGCTAGTAACCTGTTCACTAATATTTCTAAGCACTTGTAACTATCTATCTACACACACATACACACACACACACACACACACACACAAGCACACTCAAGACAAGCTTGTTAAAACTGCAGTAATACCCAATAGGATAAAAATCCAGTTTTCTTACATAGTATCCTACTCTAATATAAGAAATATTTCCCAGGGAGAAAAATGCTTGAAGTAGAGAATGTTAAAAAAGTAATCAATTATGTACATGGTCCCATCAAATTTGAAAGGATTCTGTAATTAGTCCCTTACCTTTGCATAAGATGCAAAGCATCCCAACCAAGTACAAAAAGGACAACTTCATGGTGATGTTTTGGGACCTAGAAACAGAGACCAGTCATCCTGGAGACTCGGATCCACTGAGGACCCTCTCACCTGAGTTTTTATACTCACTCATACCACTACCTGTCATCACTGGCTAAGTGTAGTAAGCTCAGTGATGACAGAGCATAGTTAAATATCATAGTATGCCAAAGATAAAATCCATTTCAAGTCAGTTGAATGTCTTATTTCTGTGACATCTTCTCTCTTGGACCAAGTCCAGCTCACGTCAAACCCAGACCGTCTTCTTGCCGCCCTGTGCAAACAGCAATGTCAGGAACTAAAAGTTCCAGGATTGAAAACCAAATATGCCAATGGTATACATTTCTCTGTAACCTGTTAATCATTGCAGAAGTCTTAATACCTCAATAAACTCAAACACTATGATTAAATATTGTAATGGTCTCTTCCTTAACAACCAAATGTGTTTTAAATATTAGTCTACTTTGAAACAAATAACTCTTTATTGATGTGCTAAAAAGTATTTCCTAAGAGAAACATATACCTATCACATAGATATAGGAACAGACATAGACACACTAAGCCATATAAATGCACTATGGTTATAGTAGTAGCTTTATTACTCACCAGGAAACAAAATAATCTAATGATATACATTTTTAAATAAACTTTTTAATCAGACATATAAGTAACTAGAAGACATACAGAAATGACAACATAAGAAAAATAATATTTTAGGGAAAATGTAAATAAATAGGAAACACCATTCGTAAATTGTATACCTAGATATTGTGGGGTGCAGCAAGAAGTTCAACATAGATCTAAGAGAAGAAGGGTTGGTCTGTGTTGAGAAGGTAGAGATGATTGACAATCAGAGGAATCTCTGGTGGCAGTCAGGTAGACCTGAAAAATGGAAGGGCCAACTTCATAGTTTGGTGATGTCACCTACTTCTCACCTGCTCCCAATTGCTACCAAGAAAAGCCTTCAGCAGCCAATGCAAAAACAGTCCTCAATTCATTCTCTCCAGAGAAGCAGAAGAATCTGAGGAAGGGAGAAAAAATAGACCAGTCTTCCCTTTATCCATTCATTTCTGAACTAATCTAAAGGGAATAAATGATATTTACTTGGGTGGTGCAGTTGGTTAACATGCTTGGCTGATAACCAAAGTGTTGGCGATTCGAGTCCACTTAGAAGCACCTCAGAAGAAAGTCCTGGCAACCTACTTCCAAAAAATCAACCACTGAAAACCCTATAGAGCACAATTCTACTCTAACACATGAAGGCACCATGAGTCAGAATCAACTAGGTGGCAACTGGTTGGTTTACCTTCTCAGAGGGCCTCACCAATATATATTAAATACTTTTAAAGATGTACCCCCTCCCCCTACCAAATATCCTTAGTCTACTTGCTAAGTTCTTAAATTATTTGAAAGAGGACAGAATTTTTTATTCCATGGTAATTAGATTTAAATATTTAAAATGCATACGTTTGTCTAAGGAAACACATATACTGAAGGTCATGCATTTTAAAACCCTGGCATCAATTTAAGTTTTGGAGTCATTTCTGTGGGGCAGGAATTTGGAAAGTGGGAAAACAAAAACAATAGGCACAATAGTAATGAAGAAGAGGGATCACTCCAAAAAGGGAAAACGATTAACAAACAAATTTGTAGAATCTAAAGACTGACTCCATTGACTTCATAATTTTGCCAAAACCCAGCTACAATTGTTTCAAAA